TCGCTCAGGGCTTCGGATGTAGGGCTCTGGGCTTTTGGGGCTTATGAAGTTCTTGTTATTGTTTTGCTGCAGGACCAGACATATCTGGTCAAGTGCTTCGATGTCTTCGTGCTGCCAACCCATGCAATGCCCTTTGATTTGGGGTCGGCACGATTGCCCCCAGAAAGTGTGCCGGTCGACATGCAGACCCTACTTTGGCGGCAACTGCTAACACAAACTTGCCGGCATTGCTTGTGACCAAGCAGCCGCCCAGGTGACGCCGCCCTCTGGGCTGCGGGCCGGCTTGCTTCGTTCATGCTCCGTGCTCTCGGACGAGCCCATCACGGAGAAGACTACACCGGAGATCTTCAACTTTCAGAAGTTCCCAAGTTTCGAAGAGATGCTGCAGGACAAGGATGGCCTCGTGCTATGGCACATCGTTGCGCCGAGGCCGCAATTGTCCAGTAGCCGGGCAAGAGGGACCATCAACCCCACCGGAAGCGCCAGGGTAGAGCCGGCCATCGATGATGTCCACAACTCAGTCAATAGGGAAGCGGGGACCAGGCTTAGCTTTTCAGATCAGATCTGGTTTGAATCACACATCATCTCTCATACTTGGTTCTTAGTTACCTTGACCAGTTGCAGGATTTGTGCTGCTTCGCGGCCAGGGGTTGAGGTTCCATTTTGGGGGGGGATGCTTCAAACTTGTCAACGAGGGTTGCGACTCCGCTTAAAGGCTTCTGTATTGATAAGATTCAGATGTATGGCAGGTTACACGTTTTGTTCATGAATTCTGCAGGTTTTGTCGTGTTTAAGTAGTCCTGCATCATGGAGTTTATAAGCATGCTGAACTACAAGCATGCTCCACTGACGCTCACATTCGCAGAGTGGGTCTCATGAGCTAGCTCTTTATTTCCCCGGCTTTGGCTCATGAAATCACTTTGACCGCAGAGTCACAGACCGCATTGGGCCAGAAAAAATAGCATTGTCATTGTTCGTCGTAAGTCTGAACCGCTTGAGCTTGGACTTGGATTCCTTTGAGGTTTGCCTGCCTGGAACTCCGAAACTCTGGATGGATGCAGCATGACTCCTCGTCACAACAATGAACCGTATAGTGCCAGACACCACGTGACCTCGATGTCTGAGTATGTACTACATGTCGGTATATGGACCCTCCGGGGTCATGTGCAGGGGATTTTCGGGGAAACAGCACGTACAAGTGAACTCGGCAACCCGCAACTCTATCCGAAGCTGCCCTGCGAGGGCAAAAGAAACCCAGCAGAGAAAAGGGAACTCAATCCCAACCGCAGAGACATGAAGGCTAATCCCTTGAAGCCCTATCCAGCAGCGAGGTGGAGGCCAGCGTTGTGGACAACGATCCAACTCCAGTGAGGCTGCGGGTTCGGCAAGGCTTTCGACTTTGGGTGCTAGCCGATGAGTTCAGGAGGGTTGTTGCTTGAGCTAGTCCGGACACACAGAGGGGTTCGCAGGGGTTTCGGGGATGGGGTTCATGGAGAGGGATGTTTAAGGTTTAAAATTCATGCTTAGCCTGCTTGAAGCAGGTGTGGACGACATTCCACCCGTATAATCAGGGGCTGGTTCTGGACGCTTTGCTTTCTGTTCGGCGCGGTCGGCCTCACGAGCCTCCTGCGAATCAAATTGGAATTCTCGCTGGTATCAGCATGCAAGCCGCACGGAGGACACGGAAAGAGAGGAAACGTGCAGTTGTTGGGACATCAATTGGCCGGGTTCTTCCATCCCAGCAAGGAACTATAGAAACAAGAGGCTTCATCCTAAGTCTTAACGGTACGATCTACACAGGAAATATCTTGTGAAACCCGAAGAATCCAAGCCGAAAGGTTAACGATGTTAACGTGATGACGAAACTGCCTCGAACACGAGAGCTCGGATTGATTTCCGAACCCAAACGGCCGACTATGTGATCAGCATTGACATGATGTTTTTTCATGACTTGAGGTAACACGCCCTTAAACCCACGAACAAAGATTCCGACAGACAATTCCTGATCACGCAGTCCTGGAAAGAATCCACACGTCGCTACAAACTCAACTGCGAGAGCCACCCAGTTGGTCTTGTCGTGCGTGTGCTCAGCCTCCCACTTCCAGCGACCGTCACCAATGAAGCTACAGAACCAGCCGTTCCACAAAACTCAGAGTTCCAAGTAATCACCTCTTTTGGAAACGTGAAATCTGAGCCCCTATCAGTCAGGGTACCCGTCGTCCGAACTGATAGCAGAGCCTCACCAGCCCGTTTCGTTGCTGAATTTGGCACAGTGATGTTAGATCATCGCCAGCTGTGAATACCCTATGTGCATGACGGCATATGAAAAGGGAACAGTGCCTTCTGCCGGCTTCAGGCACCAAAGATGTGAGCCCGCGTTCGTTAAGCGCATGTTTCACTTCAGCCTGCGTCCGAGATGCTCTGGGTGCCCTGCTGCCCCCACCACCTTTGCAAGCCAGGGCCGACAGAGTATTGAAGTGCATCAGCTGCATCCTTCGCCCTTGCCTGTCAAACATGCTGGCACGAGTATATGTGGATTGTGATGGCCTGTTTGTCGCGCTGCAAGCATGGTGGCTGCTGAAAAGGCAATTTGCCGCGCCGCCCCCCCCCCCCCCCCCCTTGTAATTCAAAGCTTTAGCATGACAGCATCAAAATAGATCAAAATAGCTCGCTGCCGTGCTGCTTGAAGGGTGCTGCAAGCGTCAGTCGTGCATGCCCTTGCTTGGATGTCGTTCCTTTACGTGCTTTCTGCTCCCTATACGGCCCAAGCAGGGCACAAGCCAGCCCTTTCCAGATAGGCAGGCGGAGATGATGATGCAGGCTCACAGGTCCGCGGGTCAGCTGATGAAAGGGTTCGGTTTAGGGCTGTTTTGTGTTGTTTGAGGTTCATGGCAAAAGGAGGGCGCTGAGCAGCGATGATCAGATTTTGGGGTTGAGGTTAACAGACGCTTGAAGGCTGTTGTTTTGGGGTTCAGGTGAGGAATATGGGCTGTTTGAAGGTGTAGACGTGTTAGGTCAGGGTGTATCCGGCAAGGGCTGCAGTCATTGTAAAGGGGGTTGTTGGTTTCGGGTTCATAAAACAGAGTTTCGGACAAAGGCTGCGGGGGTTTACAGATTCAGGGATGTATGGTTTCGGATTTATCGTTTCATTGAGAGCTTGAGGGTAGGGAAATAGCAAGGTAACTTTACAGCCCCAAGTACATCAAACCTTGTTCAGGCTAGGGCTTTTGGGGTTCGGCATATAGTCTTGGTTTAGGTCGTTTAGGTGTATGAAGGGTGGTACCAGTACGTGCACTTATGGTGATGCTCGTAGTGGATTTGGTGAATGCAAACGCAATTCCAGCATCCAAGTTCGGTAACTGACTAGCATCACGCTTGGTAATGAGCGTATGTCTTTAAACCAAGAGTTCCGATCCAGCATTGGCATCCGCGTTGCGTGAATCAATTGGTGGGGTGTTGACTTCAAGGTTGCATTGCGAGTTGCTGTTGAAGTATGTGAGGTATATTTTGCGGCATCTAGATTTGGAAACTGTGGCCCGAAACCTCACATCCTAAACTGTAACTCGTGGCCCCAAGTCCTATACCGTCAAGCCCAACAATCCAGCCCGCAAAGCCCTATATACTTTGGACGAATTCGGGTTTAAGCTTCATGAAGGGTTCTGTGTTCGCAAATAGTTAGGGTTCGGGCTTTAGCCTTTGAACAATGAGATTAGAAGAACAGTGCATGCAGGTGGTTCAGGGCGGCGGGTTTGTTGCAAGAAGAGATGAACACCCCGACCACCGAGCTGAAGCTACTGAGCATGTGTCTGACGTGCTAATTGAGCAGGCCCTGTGCTACGTGCAGCCGACTGCAAACATAGCATCCTTTTCGATCGATATTATGCAACGTTTCGGCTTCTGTAAATTGCACAGTCGCACTATCGCTTCGAGTCAGTGATGCCGATCACAATCGGCTTAGCTTTCTCAACATTCGTGATTTGCAGCTAGAGGCGATGAGCCAAACGGTGTGCATCTCTCCAAGCTGGCAAGCTGCGGGCCGCGCCGGGTATCAGCTGCATGGCTTAAGATGAAGAAGTTGCAGTGCTCTGTGCGTGTTTCTCAGTTCCCGCGCCGAGATGGGAGAGGTTTGGGGAAGAGTTGTCAGGCGGAGCTGATGATGGAGCAGAGCCTGGGTTCAATAGTTGTCAGGAGGGACATCGGCTGCTCTCTGTGGGCGATTTCGAAAATAAGGCCACAACCTGCTCGCGCATTTGCACTGCAGTTTCTGCCGTCCATGCCTAACATACTAGTAGTATCTAAACCCAGAGACGAGTGGCAGGATCGGGTAATACAGTTTGAAGGTGGCATGTGGAGGAGCAAGGTCGAAGCATTTCAGGTGGCGCACCTCCGGCTCTTCGAGCCCGTGCAAGGTCACACCGCGGTGCAGCCGCCGCGATTTGCACTGCCGCACTATGTGCTGCTGCGCTCTGCTTCTGGTCGCACTGCTCCAGCAGAGGCAATCAGTGTTCTTGCATATCCTGACGTTCTCTATGCCAGATTTTGAAAAAATTGCTCTTGACCGAAGCATTTTGCTTTCGAGGTTTAGTCTTGGCGTTTCCTTGCCCGTGTGTGCGTCTCTGGGTGGAGGCCGACCTCAAGTGCCTTGGCGGCTTGTGGCACCGGCCTCGAAGAACTGAACCTGACGCTCTTCGGCGTTCGCTCGGTCCAGGGCCTCAGCTGAGCAATTCTAGGACGAAGGCATGTTGGCCTTGTCGCCTTGATCAGGTCTTGCAGAATACCTTAGAACATTGAATGTGTGATTGATGGCACAGTTCTGAATGCAGGACATATGTGACTCGAGATACCGCTGGAGATCCCGGTAGTCTCACAAGCTGCGATATCAACACATGCTACGCCGAATCTATGGCAACAGTACTACTTGTACTTGATACATGCCATATGCAAAGCATGTTTTCTCAAAACGAAGCGGCAGTCACTTCGGTTCAAGCTGGGTAGCTTGCATGGCCGGTCGCCCCCTAGCAGTTGGAGCTGCTGGCGGGCTTACTGGTGTTGTGCTACAAGCCCTCTTGGAAGTGGCTCGCCGCGGATCAGGACCAGGGTTAGAGGAGCTAGTGCCGAGAAATCACATAAGTGAGTGGGACTCTTTCGAACCCAGCTCCTCCCTGTCTGACATTCACGTACCTTCTCTGATCGCGGGCATATTGATAGGGTTGTCCATTGGCCCTCTAGCTGAGCTTGTTCTTGAGCTACGTGCTTTGTGGTCGTATTGGCTCCGGCGGCAACTGAGATCGCTCCTTGGGTTGCCGGCCAACCGTCAGCTGTACCGAGAGCTGTGACCAGGTGGATGCCAAGCTGTGAACCCGATCTAGCTGCTGAGGTGAGGAGCCTGAAGCTGCTGGTTGCGGATCTTTCGGCTAGAGTGCGAACACTTGAATTAGAGCTGGAACAGTTAAAGGAGTTCGAGGTTGTCTCCGAGGTTGCCAGTGGATCCTGTGCTCCTGCTACTTCGACAATTGAGCCTGTTTTTCCTGCACTTACCGATCGCGAGAAGATCTTGGTGGGAGTGGGCACTTGGGTTAAGGAGCGAGTTCAGGGGCTTGGCAGGGGACTTTCTGGACGGGAACAACTTCCTGAACAGTCCCGCATCTATTTGCTCTTCAAGGACTTTGAGGGCAAGATCTACAACCCTGCCGGTCTTTTCGTCCGGTGGCGTGATCTGGAGCCCCTTGTGAAGCGGCGCCAGGACTCAGGTGCCTCGGTATACCTCGGGCTGCCCAACCACTCGGACGGGCAGCTGGTGTGTCGAAGCGCCGGGGTGCAGTGGCCTTCTACGGCTACTCGATGAGCGAGCCAGCAGAAGAAGGGGTCGACGGCGACCCTTGGCCTTCCTCGGCTAGGGAGGCTGTGTTATACACCGGGAGTGGTGATACAACGTATGATTATCCTATTGGTTGCCTTACTGTGGAGCAGGAGGGTGACCAAACAATTTTGGTACAGATTATTTTCATCAGTGAAGTTCAGAATCGGCTGCTCGTTGCCTTTCCTTTGTCGGCTTGGCATAGGCAACCGTCCAGGCGCAAGCTTGCCCCTGGAACTCTGATCAAAGGCGTGGCCCTTGCGGTTACTGGTTCTTCGCCGGCTTTACGCCAAGAGGCCTCCGACGGAAGTTCCGTGAAGATCTGGGTCGGCTATTTGAAGCCGGAGCTGGAGGACAGAGTTACCTTTGAAACTCCGGCAGAGTCTGACGTGCTACTCCGCTTCGAGCAGGACGGTGGAGGAGAGGCATGCCTCCCTTTCGCCGATGCCCTTGTGGTGGTCGCGGACGAGAAGTTCTCCTTTTGCAGTGCGGTCTCACAGGAGTCTGCCAGCGAGGAACGATTGCGGAAGCTCGAAGATGGCATGGCCCTCATCCAGGCCAGCCTCAAGCAGTTGGTGGCGAAACCCACTCCAGCGGCTGTTCCGTCTGCTACTCTTCCCAAGGAGCCCAGCATCCCGAAGGAGGCGGCGCCATCCGGCCTCGATCTTCGCGGATTGGACCCCGGAGTGGTGCAATCAGCTCGATTGGCAGGCATACCCGAGACCCATCTATCCCAGATGGCCACACTGGTGCGGAAGAAAAGCCCCGCGCTTGGCGATCATCCGAGGAAGTCTCCTCTAGAGGATGTTTTGGGAGAGGAGCTGGAGCTGGAGGATGCCGAAGACCAAGACGAGCCTGGATCTGCAAAGGAGCCAGGGGGATCGATGGAGAAAGCGCTGATCAAGCTCACCGACATCGTGGGTCTCCTTTCCAAGTCCAAGACGAAGAAGGCCACGCTCGAGGAGCTCTTAGACGAGACCGGGGGCATAGGGGATGTTTCAAGCAGCAGCTCAGGGTCTCGGAAACATTCCGCGATCCTCAAGGCGCTCCGGAAGGCCCTCGTGGAAAACCCGGAGCAGATCTATCAGAGTATTCGCGCCAACATGTTGGAAGACTTCCACAGCCGAGTGGGAGGGCCTGGCGAAGCCGAGGGAGCCGGGTCCTTCCGCGGATGGCTCGAGCACCGAAGCCGGATCCCGAACATTCAGGGTTCAGTTCGGATGGCCTGGGCCGCAGGCGGAGCGTTAGATGCGCTCGAGGCCGGCAAAGTGGCGGAAGCCAAAGCGCGCCTCGCGCTTATGATCGCCCAGATCGACCAAGTGGCCCACGATCACGGCCAGTGGCTCATCGCCCACGAGGCGAGTCTAGAGGCGACTGCCCCGCCGTTCAGCTCTTTCGGCCGGCATCTGTTGCCTGCTCCGAACGAGAGCCAGTTTACCAAGCTGCTGGATGCGAGGTGGATAGAAGCTTTCGTGCAGAAGGTGAAAGAGGTGGAGGAGTACACAGAGCGCCGGAACCGGCTAGTGAGACCGAAGTCAGCGACGACCGAGGAGACCCAAAGCCAGCCGGACAAACCGGCGAAGCCGCCGAAAGGAGGAAAGGGAAAGGAGAAGGGTGGTGGAAAGGGGATTTCCACCGGAGCAGCCGACAATTGAACTCTATGAACCGGGGGGGTCCGGATGACCTTCCCCAGGCTGGGCGTGAGGATCACGAGCCGGCCTTGCATGCCAAGGCACCAGGAGCGTCAGCTAGCACAGTGGAAGCCAGCTCTTGGTGGAATTCATTTCTTCGCATCGCGCTGAAAGGTGGAACGAAGTTCTCCATCTTCCTGCGAACCCTGCTGAAAGTAGCAACACCTGCCTCTGTGGAAGAGGCCACCGGAAAACCTTGGCCTATGCCCGTGCCGTATCCGGCAGTCTGGTTTCGCGAAGCTGGAGGCCACGAGCTGGAAGATTTCAGTTTCAAAAGGGCGGTGAACATGATGGTTGCAAGTCTCAACTGGTTGTTCCTGCGCCGGCCTCCGGTAGCTCCTGCCTGCATACGCCTTGGCACTAAGTTGTCAAAAATGCAGTGGCGAGCTGTTCGTGAACTTGAGCGGCTGAGTTTTTCGTGGAAGTCAAAGACCGTGAGAGCAGTTGACATGGGTCGTACGGCATCCAAGATCGAAGCACTAGAGCAAGCAGTCTTCTTCCTGACTGGTTTGAGCACTGAGTCTGAAAGTTCTGACCTGGTCTTCGAGAGTAGCTCTTCTTCCCACCCTGGACGAGGATATGGGAAAGCGCCGGCGTTCCGAGACCTTCGCGCTGGACTTCGGCATGCCTTTGGAGGAGATGTAGTTGGCCAGACGAGCGGGTCTGGACAGTTGATGGCGGCAAAGGCAATCGTCGCAGATCGCCTCAAGTTTCGCGGAGCGCCGAGCTTCGACCCTACTCCGTACCTTGATCGTACAGGAGAGGCCATCTTCAACCGACCTCTGGATATGGCTATGCCCCCTGGGACCGGCGGTGACCCGCCGAAAGTCAAAGTGCATGCGAGCCGAGGGGAACGTGACCGACTCCTGCATCTGCTTGACGCGAGCAACCGGTTAGGCTTTGTGGGCAACAGCGAAGTGCTGCAAGGCTACCAAGCTGGTCTGTTCGCAGTCACCAAGGATCTGAGCTCAGATCGGTTGATATTCGATTCACGTCCCTTCAACACTCTTGAAAATCCGCCTGGACGATGGATTGCCAGTACCGCGACTGCAGCCAGCCTTCTCGACATCCAGCTTCCTGCAGGGCACGTCCTCGTCTCTTCTGGCACCGATTTAAGGGATTTTTATTACTCTTTCGTTTGTAGTGACCAACGTAAGATTCGTAATGCCCTTGTAGGACCACTTAGCCTAGCTGAAGCATCCAAGTTCCGATCTTTCAGGGCTGCCGACTTCAGGGAAGAAACCCACGTCTACGCCAGCTTGGCTACGCTGGCTATGGGTGACACATGTGCTGTCGAAATCGCACAAACGGCGCATGTAGCCCTGTTAGTGCAGAGCGGACTGTTGCGCGAGGAGAATTTGCTTGCGATGAACCTTTGCTGCCCCCGACAACCTAGCATGCTGGGCGTAGTCATCGACGATCTAGTGGCTCTGGAGATTGTAGCCAAGCAAACATTCGAGTCAGGCACCTCTCTTGAAGGCGGACGGACAATCGAATCGATGGTTGAGCGTTACGTCGCAGCCGGGCTGACACCTCACGAGAAAAAGACCTTCAAGGATCAGCTCCATGGAGAGTTCTGGGGTGCCAGCGTGGATGGAGAAGCAGGGCTCGTCAGAGCCAACCTCTGCCGCGCTTTGCCGATCTTTGCTATAACAGCTGCTGTGGTGAAGATGGGAGTCACAAGCTTGGCATTGTTGGAGATTCTGGTAGGCTCCTGGACGTCAATTTTCCTTTTCAGACGGAGACTTTTGAGTTTGTTTTCTGTGGTATATGAACCCCTGCAACGCGGTCTTCGACGAAAAGACGTAGTAAAGTTAAGCGATGAGATGCGGGATGAGCTGCAGATGATCGTGAGCTTGGGCCCTCTTGCTGCCACAGACCTGCGAAGTGAGAATTCACCGTTTGTCTATTGTTCCGATGCTTCAGAGTGGGGGATCGGCATCACGAAAACGATGCTACCTGCAGGATTGGAAGCCGAGGTCCATCGGCATCGGCTTCGAAAGCCGGTATGGACCAAGCTCCTTACACCCCTGCGTCGCCTTCAGCGTCTAAAAGGCGTCCTACCCGCAGCTGAAGAGCTGCCTGGAAACCAGCAGCTGCCGGGACATCCACTTTGGCTTGTTTTGGCGGGAGGGTTAAAGTACACAGAAGTCTATCGCAAAAAGGTCTGCCGCGACACCCACATCAACATCCTGGAGCTCAGAGGGCTAGTCAAAACTGAGGAGATCGCTGCTCGAGAAGGGTTCCGGCGGAGAGTTTTCTCTCTAGCAGACTCTCAGGTCGCTCTGGGAGCGTGGACGAAAGGACGGGCTGCCTCTCGCAGCCTCAATGGAGAATTACAGCAGAGCTTAGCCACGCATTTGGGCTGCAACATGCAAAGCAATGCGGGCTACATTCCTTCGGAGTTCAACAGTTCAGATGGACCTAGCCGCAACTCAGATGTCCCAGCTCCGTTCCTCGACAGGCCTTCTTGGTTCGCTACGTTGCCGGACTTGAGCGACTTCGACACCTGGCTGCGGAGCTACGAGGCGGACCCCTACAGTATTTCCGGGCTTCCGCCGCTGTCCGAGCTGTGGGCTGAAGCTGGGCCACCACCTAGAAAGCGTTTCCTTAGGAAGGCTCCTAGACCCCGTGTAGCGTTTTCGGTAGAGTGTGAGTCTGAGTCTGTGGACAAAAAGAACAACAAACAGCCAGGGACGAGGACCCAAGGACCCGGAAAGTATACACAACAGCCAGGGAGGAGGACCCAAGGACCCCGCAGTGTCAAACAGCCAGGGACGAGGACCCAAGAACCCGGAAAGTCATATGAACCAGCCAGGGACGAGGACCCAAGAACCCGGCAAGAAGCAAAACAGCCAGGGAGGAGGACCCAAGAACCCCAGCAAGAAGCAAAACAGCCAGGGAGGAGGACCCAAGAACCCCAGCAAGAAGCACAACAGCCAGGGAGGAGGACCCAAGAACCCCAGCAAGAAGCGAAACAGCCAGGGCAGGCCATGCATTCACTGGGCCACCGTCCGGGCTCCCCTAGTCTTGGCAATCAACAGGTAGCTTCGACAGCCATGGCAATGCTTGCGAACTTCAGTCCAGAACAGTTCGTCTGGAACCCGCAACTGGGCTCACTTCCTGACGTCCTTCAGCAGTATCCTGGTTTCCTGGACCTGTACTCTGGGAAGCGCGGGATCCCTTGCGCGATGGCGCAAAGTGGTCCTTGCTGGGTTCTCTGCTTTGACAACAGGTACGACCCCGCTCAGGACCTGCTGCAACCTGCGCTTCAGGAACAAATTCTTTTTCTTTTGGAGTCGGGTGTGTTCAGGGGCTTCGGTGCTGGTATGGTGTGTGGCAGTTTCTCTCGTGCTATAAGACCGTCATGGCGGAATGCGGAGCATCCAGAAGGAAAGCCTAATCTGGGAGCCGAAGCGCAGAGGCGGGTTGCAGCTGGAAACCAGCATTCCCTTTTTCTTGGAAGAATTCTGGCTGTGGCAACTAGGCTTCGGCTTTGCTACTGGATAGAAGGTCCGTACGACAGTTTTCTTTGGCGGATGCCGGACCTCGCCATCTACCAACCTTCTGATCCGGCCAATTGTTTTCGACTAGACTATTGCAGACTACGGACACCCTGGAGGAAGCGTACCCGTTTCTTTACGAATCTGCATCTCGCAGGTTTCAGCTTGTTCTGCAACCGCGACCACCAGCATAAGGTGCTCACTGGCTATTCTAAGTCTTCGAGGTGCTGCTGGACTCTGGCAGCTCAAGAGTACCCCAGAAGGCTGTGCTGGTGGGTCGCTCAAGCGATGCTTATCGATTCTCGCTGTGTGCAGCGTCGCCCCTTTTCTGCGGCTAGCCTTGCGCGGCAGAGCCACGGGCGGATTGGCGAGGCCAAGAATCCTGGGCCTGCCCGCGGACGAGACTTGAGCTACCGCAGTGGGATGTCGCTGGACGAAGTGCTTCTAGTCGAACCCGCTACAGCTCAGCTAGGACAGCGAGTCCATACAGCTTTCTTGGAGTGGGTTTCGGGGCGATTGTCTGGTGATGCAGCCCAGGCACTCTTACAGTGTCCAGAGACGCTGGCAGAGTTGGTTCGCCTGTTTGGAGTTCACATGTTCGACACTTTGCAGTCGCTGTACATGTTCAAGCAGCTGATCACATATTTGCAACGGGAGCGGCCAAGTTTGCGTGCGCACTTCGGGCGAGCTTGGCAAACTGTCAGTCGCTGGGAGCTTTGCGAGCCGGCGGTTCATCGCACGCCCCTTCCATTCGGCATCTTTCAAGCAATGATCGCCTTGAGTTTGGCCTGGAACTGGCGGCGCTGGGCGGCCTGTACCGCCCTGGCGTTTTTCGGCATGTGCAGGCCTGGTGAGGCCTTGAAGGCGTCCCGTGAGGATGTTCTTCTTCCTATAGACCTGCTTGGCGAGTGCATTGACAGTGTCTTCCTGACCATTCGCTCGCCGAAAACCCGGCGGCGCGGCGGTGGGCGCGTGCAGCATGCTAAGGTCCAAGACCCTGACGGTGTTCGGCTGTGCCAAGCTGTTTTTGGTTCTTTGCCGATGCGCCAGCCGTTGTACCCTGGCAGCCCCGCTTCCTACCGCCGGCGGTGGGATGCCTTGCTTCGTGTCCTGAAAATCCCAGCTCGTGTACATCTGACTCCGGCGTCTTTGAGGGCTGGCGGTGTGGTGCGTGAGTACCGGCGAGCTGTTGACATCTCCAACCTTCTGTGGCGTATGCGACTTCGCAGTGTCAGCACGCTGGAGCGCTATCTGCAAGAGGTGGGTGCCGACAGTGTCTACGTGCAGCTCAGCCCCGAAGCGCGGCAGTCCGTGAGAGCTGCCAGTGCCTTGTACGAGCCTACTTTGCGCAGTCTTTGACTGTGACCTCGCGCGTCTTTCGCTTTTGCAGGAGTTCTGTTTTTCTGCCCGCTGGGGCCGTCCGGCCATGATGGCAGCACCTGTTGTCTTTCCGAAGCCAGCAGCGGCAGCTGAGTGAAGGTGGAAGTTTCCTTAGGCATCAGCTTTCACTTCATCGCGGCTGTCTAGTTTTTCTCATCCGCGATGATGCTGATTCCTTCTTGGATTCTGATGGCCCTGCTCGCCTTTGGGCCAGAGAACCTCAACTTGTTGCCGGCAGGGTGTGAAAACAGAACGCGGGAGTGGCAGTGACAACATGCAAAGCATGTTTTCTCAAAACGAAGCGGCAGTCACTTCGGCCCGCCCCCCCGCCCGGAAGTTTCCTTAGGCATCAGCTTTCGCTTCATCGCGGCTGTCTAGTTTTTCTCATCCGCGATGATGCTGATTCCTTCTTGGATTCTGATGGCCCTGCTCGCCTTTGGGCCAGAGAACCTCAACTTGTTGCCGGCAGGGTGTGAAAACAGAACGCGGGAGTGGCAGTGACAACATGATTACGCTCCCGTGCTTAGGTTGGGGTTGGATCTGCGGTTCAACGACATCGGCCAAGGCCTGAGCTGAGTCCACCTAGGACAGAGGGAACGCTCGTTAGGGGCGGAGAGGGCGGGAGGGGAAATCAACGGGCCTGGCCTGCAACTCCGCAAAACAGTGGCCACATGACCTGTATGGGTTGGATCGTGCCCGGCCAGTCCGACGGTGTCGAAGCTGCGGCCTTCGACCTCCCGGTGCCTCGGCAATATGAAGAAGCTGGTGCAACAAAGGGCGGCCTTTGTGCTGTGATGTGCTGTGGCCGAGGTCGGAGCCATCAGCGACGATATCGCAGAGGGGTGCCAATTGATCCGTGGCCGAGGGCCTAGGCCCTCCCATGTCAGATGCCCACGTGTGCTTCCTTCCTGCCTTGTACCCTCAGAAAGGCGAGAAGTCCCTGTGGTCGGTCGTGACAGCACTAGGAAGTGTCAGAGTCCAGGCCCTGCAACTCTCGCGAGCAACACAGACAGTGTGTGTTTCCGACGATAGGCTGTTGCTTCACCCACCAGCTGGGAAATTCTTTGGACCACCGCAGGCAGACGCGAGGCCCGGCTTGGTGTGGAAAGCGAAGTCGTGCGGGTTTTCTTGCCAGTTTGAGGCTCTATGCTGTCTCCCTTGCCGAATGACGCGGGTGCGCCGTTGTCGTTTCGTAAGCCCGACGAGGGGCAGAGGGACTGGGACTGCAGGGAGTGCACTCGCCACACTCGCGTTTCTGAGGTGCTCCCACGAATTGCCCTGCAGACGACCGGCTCATCACTCGGCGGAATCTCTCGCTGAGGGTTTCCAGGGCCGTGGCAGAGCAAGCACTGCTGGTCCAGGCTGCCGGAGCGACAGAGGGCTGCATCGTAAAGACCAGCAAGGAGATGGGACCGGGATTGAAGCTGAGAGATTGGCGGAAGTCTCCGCGCCCTGCCTTGCAGGATCTCATGCATGTGCTGCTTTCTGGAGGTTGCTTCCCCAGACAGCCAGGGACGACTGCTGTTGCTGCCAGGAAGAAAAACATCGGCGGACCTTGGTACGCGTCGGGTTGCGATCAGGCCATGTGGACGGGCGTGCCGCTTGGCAGGAAATGCGCTGCACCTGAGCTAGCTGAGGCTCCTGGAGACTCGAGCTATGCACAGGCGACGCTTGCCGCTTTATGAGGTGTCAGCGGTTCTCAGAGCACGGGAGCTGTGAGCCAGCTGAATTCAGGAGTGCTCCCATGCAAAACTTAGAAGCTTGCTGCTCAGACTCAGACACTTCCGAATCTCGCCGATGCCTGCGCAGCCTGCTCTCGCTGTCGCCTTCCTTTAGTCGTGTTCACCAGTGCTGCTGGGCATGTGGCCCCTCTTAACAACTTCAGTTCCGTGATCTCTGTTGCAATGATTCGTGGACTTATTGAGGGTCAGAGGGTATGTGTGCAGGGGTAGATTATATGACCATCTGCAACCTGCGACAGCGCTGGAAGCTTCTGAGGTCAGAATGGACTTCCTTCTGTTTTTACGCGTAATGCCGGTCCCCCAGCTCTTGGCCGATCTTTCCAACTTTTGACTTATCAATTGAGGCACGACATTTGCAGCCTCATTGGCTCCTCGGTTTCGGTTTCGACGATTCTTGTTGTTCATGCGGTCCGTGTCCTGATGGAGATCGTGCGAGGCTCACATGTCTGTTGTCCAAGGATCATCAGGCAACGAAGGAATTTCAGGTCTGCCTGCGATTCTGTGTTGGTTCGCTGGCAGGACACGAAGCTGCCATACTAAGTCTATCTACTGTACATCTATTTTCACACATACATAACATACATACATATATACATACATGCATACATACATAAATAAATTTCGAAGAAACTCGCAACCCCTAAACCCTAAACCCAAAAGTACCCACAACTTGACAAGCATACCGCAGGTGGAGGCGGGTGGAGGGGGGCGGGAGGTTTGGCCTGGATCGTACATGGGGTGTTGAGATGCAGTCCACAACCGGATTGTGCAAAAGTTCCTCCATGTAAAATCGCTAGATTCATGGACATGTAATATAATGTCATTGAAGAGTTTCATGCTCTTTGAACGTCTGTGAAAAGCTCCTCAGTATTTGAAAATATGTCAATCCTGTGAAGTTTTTCAGGCCATATCGATTTTGTATTATGTATGCAGAATGCTATCCTTTGTCCCTTCTGTCCCTGGCCCCCTTGCAAAATTGCAACAGCCTCTGGAGTCACAGGATAGTGTTACGCTTCTGCAACGGAATTAGAACTCCTTGAGAGGCAGTGGCGTTGTTGCTTTGCCTAATATAGGGGCCGCAATAAATCGAACAGGATGTGGGGGGGTTCCTTTGCCCAGCCCTATTCTGGTTATTAAGGCCCCTATGCTACTTAATCACAACACTTGTGGACTCATCGGTGGGGACTTTTTCGGAGGGTTTGACCTCTGCGTTAAGAAGAGAGTAAGAGTAAGGAGCAGCCAAGGTCGGCGAACTGCATAGCCGTCCAGTACGCATTGGATTGAGCATGAGCCTTAGCTCTGCATGCCTTCAGTATTGACACCTTTCGCATCGATTCAGTTGTAGGCATTGGCCAAAGCGTGACCCACTCCAGATTCTACATGGCAGACCTGATGACCTGATGCTGTTGTGGGAGGTGAGAGGGTGTAAGACTCAACAAGCTGCCCAGGCATGGCAATGCCAAGCTCCGTTTGATCACAATTGGTGGAGGCCTAGCGATCGCGAGCTACATGCCTGTAAAGCCGTGCATTCACACGTGGGGGGGAGGAGGCACCACCGAGAGGTCACCCTGAATCTCAAGCCATCCCGTAGATTCTGAAGGCACTAATTAGACTTCTCCGGTAGCAGCCGACAGTCCGAAATCACCCGACGTACCTTCATGCGATCGTGGTGTCCAGTTAGATGTCAGAAGCTAGAGAAGCTGTGACACGGGACCTGCACAGGAACACAGCGAATAAGAAGCATGCGAATCGAAAGACTTTCCAGGCAAAGGCTGCCTCTCGAGCACGAAACCCGTCTTTCTGCTTGCGCTATCTTGCAAGAGAGAAGCCCCATAAGCTCTAACGAGAAGCCTGTAGGAAAAAGGGTTAGTAATTTTACTATCATTTCCAAGGCTCTATAGGGTTTATAGATTGATGCGCTACACGTCCGTGGGCAGACGCCGTCAGTGTTTGGGCCTAGAAGCAGAATGCAGTTGCGGCCATGCTGTTCGATCATGCCAGACAACAGTGCCCCGCCATTCCAGTCTAGCTGGGTGAGCAAACCAGGTCCATGCCCAAGTCACAAATGGCCACAGTTAGGACATACTTGACATCGGTATATCGACGGCTGCATATCACCATTGCACTGTTATCCTGTGCCCGGTGCCTTCCTCGGGCGTCAAAGCCACGGCCGAGCGCGGATGTGATCTTCCGGCGAGGCCATTCGCTGTTCCTCGTTCCGGGCTCTCATCTCCCTTAGCTCTCCGAAGCCCTTCTGCTCTGCCCCATCCATCGCAAAGACGATTTCGATCGCCCCATGCCTCGCTTGCAGGTCTATGTCGCGTGCCTCGTCAGCTTTGCTGCACACACTTCCTGTTTCTTGCTGCCGGCTTGACTCGCGGATTTTAGGATGTTTGAAGTGAGGTGCTTGGCAGCATGAGCCGATGGGCGCCGTGGGAGCCTCTGACTATGTCGGAGCTGGCGATCAGGAGCGCAGGTCAGCGGGGCCGGCGGGTGACTCGAACATATTTTAAGTTGGTAATCAAAGCCGATACGATTTTACTTGAAGTCTAAAACATCTGAGCCGCACGCCCGTCAGCAGCGGCCGGGCGTGGAGCAGGGGCGGGGGATGGGGTTTGGAATTCTGGATAACTTGTGTCGTAATCTCCTATGGTCGAAGCTTGGGGTTCATGTCCTGGGGTCTGAGCATTTCTTGGAGTTTGCGGCATGCCAAAGGTTGGCAAAGAGTTTGAGGCTTAGGCCAGGAGGCGCAGCTTGAGAGAGTTTTCGGCTGACAAAGCTTTCCAGAGCACGCCCGCGCTTGCCAAACGCCCAAGCATCGCATCGCCTCATTGCAGCAACCGGCATCTCATGCATCTTGTGCACGCACGCCGTCGGGCAGGACACCCTACAGGAGAAGAAGACCATGAGCCTGCCGACCAGCCGCGGGCCCAGAAAGCCAGACACTGGTCTGGAGCAGAGTGCTGCTGTGCGGACTGCAGTGTCCAGCATCGAGGAGAAGAGCAGCGGTCACGGTGGAAGCAAAGGGCTTCGGCGTGCAGGACAATCGCTTCATCAACATGCCCAGCTGGCAAGCTTTCCGATGGAGCAGCATGCTTCGATCTACTATATGCACCACCTGTTGCGCATCACGTTGAACTCGTGATCGCTGCCAGGCGATTGACAAGGCCACTTGCGAGCATCATGGAGGCCTCCGGGTCAGGTTCCCTGGTAAATTTCTGTTCTTGGGTCCGCGTGCGAGTCCAATTCTCCGGGTGGACCAGGGACACGTGAAGCCAAGAACATGGGGTATTCTTGGAGATCTGTAAATGCATGGTCCATCGTGTGTGCCTTCGGCTTGCCCCCATCGGTGATAGCTTCAAAACTCGGAGGGTGTCAGTGCATTTCTCGCAAACAGGCTCCGAACCACGACATACCATGGCAGGTCTGGTGTGCCCACAACCAGATTCCGATGCGTGATGCAGCCTTCCTCCTCCGCACTGTGGCCGTGAAGCTGGAGGAGATTGCAGCGATCATCTCATGTATCTTCTTGTGCACGGGATCGGCCATCTGGCAGGACACGCTGCATAGCCTGGGTTGCGGCGCAAATGGGAGCTGGTGCTGACTGTGGCGGGCACCTGAGTTTCCGTCACAAGTTGTGACATGCTTTTACGCTGACGCATGCAGCAGGTGCGTCGCGAGCACCAGCAGTGGGCCCAGACATCCAGATGTTCGTGTGAAGAAGTGTTTTTTCGTGACCGTGCTGGCGACCGTGTCATACCGTTCGAGGCCCCGCGTCTTCATGAGGGTGTTCGACGCTGCAAGGGAACTTTGCATCAGGATGCCAAGCTGGCAAGATTTCCCGAAGCAGCTGCTGCGATCCACTGTTGCACGTGTTGCGCACCACGTTCGGCGATATCGCCGCCAGGCCTTTCCAGACGTGCCTCGCCAAGATGATGCAGGCCTGCGGGTCAGGGCGATAGCTTTCTCACCACTCCTGCTGACAAAGCTTTCCAGAACATGCTGTGCCGATTGCAGCTGATGCATCCTGGCTGATGGTGGTCTTTCCGTTTTTGTGCAGGTCTGGTGTGATCGACACCAAGTTGCCATGCAGGACGTGACGTTCCTCCTCGGTACCGTTGCCATCAAGCCCGAGGAGATTGCAGCATCAGTGCGTTTCATGCGTCTTCTTCTGCAGGGAACTCATCGGGCAGGACACGCTGTGCAGCCTTAGCTGTAGCCTCGAGGATGAGGTTGTCGTGAGGGTGGCATGCGCCTTAGTTTGAGTCCCAAGTCTTGTTATGCGTGTTGCTGTTGAGACATTGCGGCAGGTGCGTCGCGATTGGCAGCGGGCCCAGACTTCCAGACGTTCGTCCGGGTGGCTGTGTTGACGGCCGCGCCTGTTTCTATTGTCTCAGGAAGCTGCTGGTGAAGATGGTGACTCAGGGTAGCGAGCTTCTCGTCATCAGCATGCCAAGCTGGCAAATTTGCAATAAAGCATGCTGCGATCTGCTGCAGCACCTTTTGCACATCACGTTGAACTTGCGGTCGCAGCCAGGCATCAGTCAATACCACTGAGGAGGATTATGAAGGCCTCTGCCCCCCCGACTCGGACCACACACAGAGCCTCGATGGGTTTGTGTGTCTCGACACTGTTTTGCTACAGTGTGCACCTGCACGTGTTTGCTTACCATCTCTTCCATCTTTGAAGATGCTTTACCCTAGCCATTGGGTCTAGAATGACTTGAGAATGGCGAGGTGAAGCCGGTGAAGCATTTGCCTTCTGTCGGCACGTGGATGGCACCATCCTCAGTCTGACAGATGTTGACATGTTCATGGAGGTTTCTTTTCATGATTCTTTTGAGGCCGTGCGACGGCATTGGCCAGCTTCGATCCAAATCGCTGGACAACTTCCGGAAGCGACTGCCGCAACTTCAGGAAGGCCTGTTCTTAGACGACCCCTCTCACATCGATTGGACATAGCAGACATCAAAAGCTGGGTCACCATCGATGAGGATGGCAGACCGATGTCCGGTTGGGCAACAGATTTTATTTCAACCAACAGGCACGGCCTGCATGGATGCGGAGTTGTAGTGTGCAGCTTGACGGTTGCCCAGTTGGAGCACAAGCACATCAGGACCGAACCACGGTTTTACAAATCGCAATATTTGCAATGCTTGCTCATCCGTCTATGAAATTGAATAATTTATAGCTGCGTGCTCACGAAGCACAGATGGCGACAGGAATTGTGTTCAGTGACTTCATGGACAAAGTAGGTCAGAATTGCTTTGACGAAGCTGCTGCAAGCAACGGTTAGGTGGATTGGTGCTTTCACTTCGGCGTAGACTGCGCCCCAAAGGCTGTGTCGTTTTGCGTTACTTGCATCAGGAGGGACGGAGTGCCTGGACAGACCCAGCACGCGCCACGTGCTAGGCGCATCGTGTCGAAGGCTAAAGGTTTGGTTCAAAAATCGTTGCGCGAAGCCAGGTCCTATACCTGAAGATGCGCACGTTGAGCATACTGCCACTGGACTGTAATGTGTTATCGAGCCAAGATTGGCCTTCCATTCTGATGCTCTGCTTCTGATGCTGCTGATGCTGACTGCAGCGCTTCTTCTGATCCCTTCGCATGAAGATGATGTTGGCGGCTTCAACAAGGGTCTCAAGATTCTTTGCACACCTTGGGCATCATTGACATGCGGATTCTTCTGAGTCCAGCCCTTTGCAATGGGCATTTGTGCATTGCAAAGACTAGGGTTTTTGGACTCGGTATGAGCATTGCTTGTGAGTCCAGTTGCTCTCGTGGGCTTTGCATAGGCATTTCGTCGAGTTCTCGAAATTCATGTATGTGAGTGCTTGTCGTGCGTCTCCTGAGTCGCCAGGCCCGCCCGTTGCTCTCAAGTGCAGTAATCAACTTTAGCTGCCATCAATATCCGCAGGTCATCTCCGGAAAGTCGATCGCTCGTGGACTAGGAATGATTGAAACGACGGGCTTCCTGAGTTGGTCAAGTACTGGCCGTTGAGACGGGAAGGTTTCCGCACGTTGAACTCCGATCGATCACAGCTTCTTTGCAGAGCTCCCGGGTCGCTGTTTCTTTAAGAGCCCATATTCTTGCATTTTTGTCGCTCGTTTGCAGCCTAGACAGTTGGGTCCTTCACGAGCTGAGGCAGCTGGGAGACTCGCAGTGCTGAGTCAAGGAATGGGAGGCGAAGCGCGAAGATAAAACTCAGTGCATTGTCAGATTGGCACAGATACTGCAGAACTTTGGTCGAGGAACAGTGCGCCAGCGTCCTCCCAGAGACTGCGAATAGCCTCACCCGCTGACGCAAAAATCGATACAGCAAGTGTTCCAGACATGCCATGTTAGTGGGATGTGGCTTCGCTGCCGTCTTTCTTCTCTAAAGGTTCCACTTGGGTTTTGAAGTTGAGTCATCGCTTTCGGATTTGGCAGCTCCTTTTAAGGCGGTGAACCATATGAACCTTTCTGGAAGGGGCTGCTCAGGAACCCAGCTTGGGGTTGCTGAGATGGTTTGGGTTTAGAGATTTGGTCAAGGATTGTTTGAAAACCCCAGGCCATGAACCCTACACCTGTGAGAGCCCTATGTAGACCCGAAGGTAGTATGGGGGTCTGAATAATGTGTCTCTATCGCCCCCTTTTTCACTGTATTATACTATCCCTCCCGAATCCTGTGCTAATTGATGAGGCCACTGTATAAGCCCAGATGCATCTTGTAAAGATTGTAAAGCTACCTAACAGAAGCCTCTACCTTGGCATTGCATCTCTGCTGCCAGAGTGCAGGGGTATAGGGTACAAGGCCTAGTGGGTGTAGGGAAGAAAAGGCTTAAATTAGTGAGTAGTGTGTGCGCGTGTACGTACATACATACACTCATACGTTCACACGGCTAGATATACACATATACACATGCATACATGTACATATACATGCATGTATGTGTCTACATAAAATATATATATATATATATATATATATATATATATATATATATCTGTACGCATGTACATGAATGTGTATATGTATATAGTGCATGTACGCACAGGTTTCCTGCAAGGGAACGCGGCTTTTCTGATTCCTGCCGCACTTGGTACTTCCGTTGCCGTGATGCTTCAAGATTCGAGCTGGAGCAACCTCACCAAGCTTAAGGCAGCCCTCCATGGACTTTTCGGCAGTGAAGCACCTCGGCCGCCTTGGCTTCGGGGCAGGTTGTGGGAGCTGCGAGTTGACAGTCCTTCGCACGACATGTCTCCTGGATTCCAGGAAAGGCTTGCGCCTCCACGCAGAAGCACCTTGGCCTCCCATTGGATCATCCGCAAAACGCCCGTGATCCACGGACTTTCGCAAGAGATGTAGATCACGAGGCCGACGGAAGGCATTGGGCAGCGGAGGTGGCTTGGCATGGCACGCTTCCGTGTTGCCAGACAGCAGCAGATGTATTTAGCTTCTTGAGGTCGTGGCCGTCAATTTGAAGACGAAGACGCCCGTGAAGGCCGAGCTGAAAGCACCCGCCCCTCCACTGCTCCTGCCCTGGCCCGCATCAATCACTTCCATCATCCCCGGATGCATCATCAGAATCGCCGCAAGCGCCATTATAATCTTCTTCTTCACAGCAGCCATAGTCACGACCGTCCTCCTCATCGCCATTGCCTTGCCAATCGTCGTCGCCGGGAACAGCATCATTATCATCTATCTTTGTCCATACAGTCCATCTACTTTGAGTCGATGATGCGACATTTGATGTTTCGACAAGCACCTATACGAACACTTGCCCTCCGGAGGTTCACTTCATGGGCTATGCCAAGAAATACGACGAGTGGCTTGGCGCGGAGCGTCTCTGCTCCAGGGCCATCGTGCCGCTCAAGGATCAGGAGGAGACCGCATCATATGATTCGACCGGCCTCGGCACATGAAGAGAGACAGAGAGGGATCTTTTGTGGCTGCAGAGTTGCCGCCAGGAGGGATCCCAGGCGGGGCGGGCTGCTCGCAAAGCGGGAGTTTCGTTTCCTCAGCTTGAGGATCATGCTTGCCCAGGCCCTGTTTGGTGCCGTCATCCCACCCATGGCAAAAAAGTACCTCCGCATCAATGCGAAGGTAGGCAAGCCGAAGCGGGAGCGGAGCATCCTTTGAGCAGTCGCTGTTTGCCCTCTGCTCCAGGTCTTCGCTCGGCTGAACCCAGGCTTGAGAGAATTGCAAGGGGCAGTGTCTCCTTCTGGCAGACGCAAGAGCGCGGTTTACAGGCTTTTGCCCCTGGGTTCTTGCCGAGAAGGAGTATCTCGAGGCGACAAAGGACGGGCTGCATGCTGGGCTTGTCGCTAGGCTCCGAGTGGCCCCTTCGAGTTTGCTGCAGGACTGCAAGGACAGGATCACGTGGTCCCTGCCGCACCAAGAAGGTCACGTGCACTACTCCCTGCCCGTTTTTATGGACGACAGGCCCGCCCAATTTGGTTGCAATGCCTTCCACTACTAAAATGCATCAACGCAGGGGCGAAGCGTCGGCCTACCTTGCGGGCATCGTCATCCAGGACGGAGCTTCACAGCGTGTCCTCAGTCACCGGGCAGGGTCACACAGCTAAGCAACTGTGGAGGAGATGATTTGGAAACTACATGACGCCAGCTCAGAAAACCCAGTAGCCGTGTTTAGGAGAACTCTGGTAAGACTTCAGTTTCGAGCTTAATCTTTCTCACGTGTCCCTATATGCTGTGCTTCCTGAGGCCTCGAGCCTGCTTCTCTGCGGACCTCCCAAGATCTGTCCTTCGGCTTCGATTTCACCTGCAGTACTCCTGATGGTGACGACACCATTATTGAAAATGGTGAGAGGCCAATTCCTGCAGAAGTGCTTCTCGGTTGGAGGCCACACAAATGCAGGAGTTGCGGCAGATAGCACGAAGCCTGGTGAGTTTCGATCAACATCGCTGCCAGGAACTCACGAGTTCGAGATGAGGTCCATGCCGGAAGCAGCTCGGCTGCTACCTTCTCAAGTTCCCGGAGCTTCCGTTGAGAAAGCGCCTGAGCACAGGTCTGCGGCGCGCCCCGCAAGCTTTTGGAGGCTGCACTCGTTTGAGCAGGAACCGGGGGACCGGCTGCAGATGAAGGTGTTCTGTGCATCAGGTAACCATCGTGGGAAAGGAGTCGGAGCTGCCCGCTGCCTTCGATGCGCCCGAGGTGCCCCTTGTAAACCCGTACGTGGAGTAAAGGTTGGATGCTGGATTCTACTGGCTGCTCAACATTAGCGAAGCATGAGCCACACCCATATGTTTCAAAGCCACGGGCATGCCTTGCATTCTAAACGCCGGCCTAGCATACAGCCACACAGACGGACTTGAACATGCAAGCCCAAACCTCCAACACCGCGGAGCCGCTCGAGGCTGATGCATTTGCGAGGCTGGAGGCGCACAGGTCAGCGGGGCTGTCTGGTGACTTTGACCCCGTCACTGAATCCTTAGTGAAATAGGCCTGAGTATGTCAAGCTTAGCAATGCCATTGAGTCACCCGACAGTCAGCAGCGGCCGGGAACGGGAGGGTGCCGGGTGGGTTCAGGGTTGAGGTTTGGAGCCTGTCAAAGGGTTGCACTCAACTAAATTCTGATATCAGTGTGCCACTCCTGCTTTATGTTCGCTACAGTTAATTACGCTGTTAAGATTGGCCACTTCATTTTGGGGATCGCAGGATTTCTGAAGATGCCGTCGTTTTTGCATGTTTCGCAATTTGAGCACAGGGCTCAGGTTTTTGCGCTCTTCGGGCTGATTTGAGTATTGGCTTTGGAGTACGACTCAGCACGCATGTCATGGAGACGCTGACGGTGCAGGTGGTTTGTGTTGGTTGCCACGGCGATCGCGAGTATTACATAAAAAGAATGTAGATGTGCCCAGGCGAACCATAAAGTTAAGGCAGTCAACACAAAACACAAAAAAACTACCATGAACTGCAAGCCCTCAACACAACAAGCACAAGACTAGCTAGCACACTCGAGCATCTGATAGGAGCGACTCACTGCAGTTGCTAGAGTTGCTCTTTTATGGAGCCTGACAGAAAGCAGACTGTATGAAGGTCTTGAAGTCCCTCGGAGCTTACCGATACATTCACTGGTCGCATTACCGTTCCATTGACTCGCAGCGACACTAGTAAGAACAGCATGGGCAGGAAAAGTTGCGCCGGTATTGCACAAGGAGGTCTTAAGTTTTCAAGTGTCACAGAAGCTCATAAAGCCTGCACCCTCAAGCCCTCATGCATCCAGGATGTTCCCAGCCTTCTGCCATTGGACAACACCGGTGACATCATCCAGACTGCCCAGGAGACAGGGTATAGAGTATTGGTTTAGGGATCGGTGCTTACGGTATGGAGCAGCTCTGATGCTCGATGTGGTAGTTTCAAGGTGTAGTTGCCGGCATGGCGGCTTTTGGGGTTTGACTGAGGCTCCCAGTCAATAGCAAGTATGAGCCTTAATCCGACAAGTTGCCGGCTGACTTCCTTTCGAGCCATGTTTCGGGCGTTGCTGTTTGTACTTCGTTTGTGTTGGCGGCTACTCGTCCTCGGTGGAACGAAGCTTCCTAGTGGTGTTGGGGTTTGGCGTTCAAGGATTCCCATCATCACCATGCAAAAACATGGTGGGTGCAACAGCTCCCAACATACATGTCCCGGCAACAGCGCATTTGATGTGAATTGCAGCAGAAGCTGTCGTGATATGCTCCCTTACGCTGTGAACCCTACAGTGAACCTTAATCTCAGCCATCTCGAGCCAAGGTTTTCAAGAAACTCCTAACGCATAACGCATCTAGGCTGTTCCCAGCCTTCCACCATTGGACAACACCGGTGACATCATCCAGACTGCCCAGGAGACAGGGTATAGAGCATTGGTTTAGGGATCGGAGCTTAGGCTGAGGAGCAGAGCTGCCGCTCGATGTCAGTGGTAGTTTATCGGCTTCAAGGTGTAGTTGCCGCAGTGCTTGCTAAGGCCCTGGACTTTCCCAAATCGAGGCATTGCAACTAAAAGTTTCGCTTAAAGGCTCCCACGGAAGATTTGTCAGGAGTCTGCATGTCAGACGTGTGACATGCGGGGGTTGTGGTTCAGGGTGGTTTACTGCTTCAGGGGTTAATGTTGCGAGCTTTGCATTTGGAGATGAGATGGAGTTGCTAAACTTCTAAACCCTAATACATGTACAACTCGTTCATGTCCTCCGCCGGATCCAAAACCACAAGGCTCAGATGCAGTTATTTTGCATCGATGCTTCAACTAGCTTAGTGGGCCCAAACGTTTGTCGTTGTTACTGGATCCGGATAGTGCTGCTCTCGGAATCAATTTAGGTATTGAGGCTTGTTTAGGGCCAAGCTCGAGTCATCACGCCGCCGGTCGTTTCAACAAGCCCTCGAAACTGAACCTCAAACTGAAGACTGTTTGCATGGGAATTTACAGAAGCCTGTCTGCTGGTGCCTGAATTTATGACTGCATGGGTAATTGACAATGGCATCGAAGATTGTTGCATGCTGCATGAGAGACCAAGCCAATCAGGGCGGAAGTGCGCTTTCCGCTTGCAGGAACGTGTATGTCTTCTGCTGGTGCATGCGCATGAGATGTGGAGTTCGGTGAAGGGTGGCGAGAGACGTGGAGACGGTGATGGTGAAAGTATGACAGTTGCAAAACCCTTTTGAAACAGTGTCTCAAGGTAGACACTCAGCCTCGCAACTGCCCCAACACATGTCAGTGCATCCTTTGTCATCCGTTCATTAGTTCAGATCTACTTAGCCTATGTTGCTGACTGGTGTTTGGGCGTTGCATGCTCTCAGTTGTGATTCTGTGGACTATGTGGAGCCTTGCCTGCCTTGTGCGAGTGTGAGCGTCGAAACTGAAAGTCTTCACTTCCAAGTCACAAGACACCACAGAATGGCCAAGCCCTGAGCTGCGAGGCTCCCCTGGTAGCCTCAGACCACCTCAACAACTTGGAAAAGCAAGTCAAGCTTTGCAGCCAGGATGCGGTGAGCAAGACCGCCGAGGCCGGCCAGGAGGCCACAGGGCTCCCGGGCCCTTCAGCCTTGTGGTTAAGACCTCGATGAAGAGGAGGGGGACATGGTGGTGAGACTAATTGTGCCGACCAATGCAGATGATTATGGCGATGGCATAGACTCGATTATGGTCATGGTCGTCGTCGTAGTGTCATGATCGATGTTGGCTTAATGCTCCAGTGCAAAGTTTTTGTAAAACCAAGCTTTCGAACACAAAGGCCTGTGACTTCAGCCGCATTCACTGCGTGGCTAGGCTGTGGAAGGCGCCGTGGCGGGCGCCAAGGACATGGCGGACACGGCGCTGGATGTCGTTGAGGCTGCCATTGGCCATGCTTTTGGCAGTTGTGTTGTTCTCACAAAGTCGCTAGTGCTAGACCGCTGTGCTTGTTGAGTTGTACCTTCGTCACCAGCCCAGTGTACATGCACAAGACTGTTGCTGCTAAGTGCGGTGGGATCCAGAGTCTAGGATTCAGAATGTAGGCTTGACGGGATGGTGCTCCAAGAGTAGGTTTTCTTGTGGGCTACTGGGTTGGCCGAATCCCCAAACCAAAACCCTCGCCGTAGATCATCGACTCCGGCAGCTCAGAGGGGGGCGCTGGCAAAGTGAATGAGACGTTGGACAAGCAGGGCGGCGAGGTCTTGGGGGCACTGAATTTGGATGTTTAGCTTCAGGTTATTTTTATGTCATAGTATTTGGGTTCAGCGTTCAGGACCCTAGTTAGCTGGAGAGCTTATATACACATGCTGCTGGGTTTTGCACCTTTCAACTTGTATTGTAATTAGTGCACAAGATCAGGAAAATTGAGGTTGCTCTACATGTCACCTAGGATTGTAGGGGCTGTTTTGACGTTGTCTATGTGCTGCAACTTGTTATTGTAGCCATCAACAGCAAGTAGACTCTGGTCTTGGACCGCATATGGGATCAATGGTTTCTCGTTGTTCTTGAACCCTTTGTTGTCTTGTGCGCTTATAACATGAGTTTGTTCTGCAAAGGTCTAGGGTGAAATTTCCGGTGCAAGCGCCGTGGAGAGATGAGTCCCGCTCCATGAGGCCACCCAAACCCTTGTCTCAAGTTTCAGTTTAGGGTCTTGGCCTGCCAAGGTTCCTCGTGAGCCCAGGTCCAAGTCAGGTCTTCCCTGCATCCTCGTACTGTGGTCCTTGGTACCCGGCAGCTCCACACAGCCGAGAGTGGGTACTATGTCTACAGACTTTAGCCATTCATAGGCCCCGCACCATGTGGTGTTTTTACTTTCATCCTTAGTTGTAGGATCCCAACGTTGAGCTGCCCTTTGGGGGGCCCTTGGGTGGGGTCCTTATCTTCGGGTGCTGTTTTAGACGCGTCCGGGGTGACTGCCAGGTCCAAGCCAAGGCTCACAGGGCGGAAAACAAAGGTGCCGCCTTCGTGGAAATGGCCAAGGACAGCCAAGTTGTTTGGAGTTGGGTCTATGGGTTTTAGGTCGAGATCCTCAGGGGCTTCAGGGGCTTTGGGCTTAATACCAGTCAGAGTTTTAAGGATTGTCACCAGGTTGATGGTTCAGGGCTAAGGCTTTGTAGGCTATGGTTTAGCAATTGGGCTGTGGGCAAAAAGCAGAAGATGGGCTTAGGGTTGAGGTTTCCGGTCCCAGTAGGCATCTAAAGTTGAACTGATCCTGCAGGGGATGCCTGTAGAAGAGGCAGACTTGCAGAGATTAGGTTCAAGAGTTTGGGTTACAGTACCTACCCTACTTCCTCAGGACTTACTAGGCCTGCCCTAAGGGTTCTACTTCGGGCCTTTGGCTTCTCGGGTCTCATGCTGCTGCATTGGGATTTTTGGGTTTTGGGCTGAAGAGGGTGAAGCAACACAGGATATTCAATCCGCTGCAGTATAGACCATCCTCGGTTCAGTTAAAGTACCGGAGGCTCTGTTAACACGGTCTGCTGCGGCGAGCCCCACAAACCTCGGCTTGAGCATCCGCCTGCAGGAGATTCTGCCATCGGTGGTTCCCAAGCGCAAGCACCTTGATGCGATTGAAGTATGTTTAAGTCAGAGTCTGGGGTTCAGGATTTCAGGAATTCGGTTCGCAAAGAGTTTCGAGGGACCTTAACCGTGTCGTCTGTTATCGCTGTAGCCTGAGAGGCTTTGAGGTTTAGGGTTTAGGGTCGGATAGCCCCCAAATTACGACTCTCGGGAGGCCAGCAGCAAAGAAGCTGGATGTCCCTCGGCCTCAATCGTGTTGGGCTCTAGGGACTCTAAGGTTTTGTGGCTGGGGGGGGGGGTTCAGGATAAGGGGTTCAAGGTGAAGGGATTTAGGAGTTGAGAGTTTATACATGGTTTATGAGTTCAGGGTGTGGGGTGTAGGACAGTGTAGGAATTCCGGGTTCGTCGGCCAACGATGGTTAGGACTTAGCGTCTCGGCGGTGATCGTGCTCTAACTTTCTTGCAGCCACGGGAATACTGTAGACCGCTCATGTAGAAACGTCGTGGTAGTTGTAGTCATATGCTAACCAACCCAGGAGTTTACACTCACCATCTTAAACTTGGCAGGTGAGCCTGATAGCCCCGTGACGACCCTGAAAGCTCCGAAGCACAACCCCTTAAGTACAACAGATGTGTTCGCAGATGTGTTCCTTTGCCCCCGATAATCCTGAGCAGAAACCTAACTTCTGATTTCCTTCAACCTTGCAGCCTGAACCCGGACCACGGAATCCTAAATCCACTTGAAGCGTCAAGCTTGGCTCGTGACTGCTTTCAAGTGTTCTCTCGAAGCGTAGCTGCACCAGTCCGTCAGGCAGTCAGAGATTAGCTCCCAAACCCCTGAAGCCCTGAAGCCCAATAAGCCTTGTAAGCTGTTGAACTTGGAAAACTCCTTAAACCTACACCTATGCCCGAGGATGCCATGCCGCCCATCCTCGAGCCTGTGGACCGCCAGACACTCCCTGCCCAGGAGGCATTGGAGAGGGGGAGACCTGTTGGGATAGGTGTTTCCGGGTTCAGGGTCTTGAGGGTGTTTAAAGTTGTTCAGGCGTCTTGGTGCCTGCAGCCCAGAGTTCAGGGTTACCGCGCTTTTCTGTTTCGTTTTTGCGGCTTTTGGTGCTTGGGTTTTTGCTGTTTAGCCTCTAGGCCTGTTGAAGCAGTCACTTACAGGGGACTTGGTGAGTAGAGCACAAGTGCCAATAGTAATAGGGTACGTACCAGCTGCGGAATTGAGAACCCCATGCAGAACCGGCGGGCGAAATTCTACGGTCTGAAAGAACGGTCATGCATTGGTGATAAGGTTCGGGCGTAGAGGTTTTCGGTGTTGGCTCTGTTTTGAGGTGACGGCTGCAGCTCCTGGGTCGTACAACTTCGTAAGGAGGTGGATCTGTTTTGCCGGTAAAACGGATCAAGACCCCAAGTCCTAAACCCCAAACCTACATGTCACTAACCCCTCAAAATCCCTCAGCATCCAAAACACCAAACACTTGCCGACGTGCCACACATCGCTGTGGGGCTTAGAGATTAGGAAGAAGGAACTAGAAACCCAGGACCAGAACCCAACATTCGACATCTCAGCAGCACTTTCAATGCCATGCTTCATGAGTTGGGGGTCGAAACGAAGGTATGCACTTGATAAGCCGACACGGGTGATTTGCGGAGCCCGTATCAAAAGTACCCCAATGAATAACAGCCGATATAATGCACAATCATCGTCTTGTATTGCAGCGGCCTGCTGCCCCACAGGCCCCGACGCGCGCCCCTCGCCCGCCGCCGAAGGCGTGGATGGTGGAGTGTTTTGATTTGGGGTGGTCTGGGGTGCGTTGGCCATTTGCGGGAGTGGTGAGGGAGACATGGTGTCGTCTTCGGTACTGTTCGCAGAATTGCTCAGATGCAGTGGGGCCCTCCTGTCACATGTGCAGAGACATCGCATCCTCCGCCAGTGCCGGGTAATTAAACGAGCTCAGAACGGTCTGCCCTGAAGCCGAATTCCAAGGCGCCACCAAAAGCGCCGCCGGCGGCAGCCAAGGCGGCGGCGGCCAAGGCTGTTGCGGCCAAGGCGGCGCTGCCGGAGGCGCCTGGGCTGAGATGGGCCCCGCTTCAGAGATGATGAGCACTTGTCGGAAGGTATGCGGTATGCAAACACGGGTGAAAAGCGGAGCCCGTACCACAAGCACCCAATGTAAACCAGAATCGCTATCGTCGTCTTGTATTGAAGCGGCCTGCGGCCCCGGAGGTGCCGACGAGAACTCTCAGAAGTCTGCCACAGGCGAGGATGGTTGTAGCGTTTTGATTGGGGGGGGTGGGTGGTTTGGGGTGCGTTGGTCTCTTGGGAGTCGCGAGGAGAAATGGCGTTCATTTCGGCACTAAATTTTGCAGAATTGCTCAGATGCAGTGGGTGCCCTCCTACTGCTTACTGCAGAGACATTGCCGCCACCGAAGCTCTCCCTGACATTCCCTGACCCCCAAACCCCAAGCTTTCAAGTGCGTAATCCCTGCAAATCAAAGGCACCGCCAAAAGCCAAGTCGAAGGTGGTGACGGCGGTAGTCGCGGCGATGCCCAAGGCCGGTAAGCTCTAAGAAACCCAGAAACCCTTAGGTGAACTGTTACTCGTAGCTTTGTGCTCCGATTCGGAGGGTGCAGATCTTTGCGGCGATTTCGGCAAAGTAAACCATGTCTGTCTGTCTGTGTGTGTGTGTGTGTGCGTGGGTGTGTGTGTGTGTGTGTGCGTGCAAGTAGATGTGCATGTGGATACGCATCTGCGTGTCCATGTGTGTGCAAATACGTGTACTTGCATGCATGCATGCATGCATGCAGGCATGCATGCATGAATGATCATGAATGCATGTTTGTAAGTATGACTGCTTGTTTGTTTGTCAGTCGGCCGGGCGGTCGCCTTCCTGGTAGCTTGCATCCCTATATCTGTGAATGAAGAGGTTCCGCGAATCTTGCGTGTAGAGGCAAGGCTCGGGGCTCAGGTTTCGAGCTTTTTCGGGCTGATTTGGGCATTGGCATTGGCTTTGGACTGCGGAGGCTCTTGGAATCGCGGTATAAGTGGTCTGGATGTATGTAGGTAGGTAGGTAGGTTTTTGTTATGTGTACAGATACAACAGCAATCCAAAAAAAAACAAAAAATACATATATATATATATATATATATATATATATTAATATATATATATATATATATGTATATATATATATATATATATATGTATATATATGTATATATATATGCATAGATTTAGAAGTAAGTATATATATATATATATATATATATATTGTAATTACACACAGACACACACACACATATATATATATATATATATATATGTCCGGACACCCCCCCCCCTCCCCCCCCCCAACGACGGCCCCTTCGCAGCGGCGCTCCGATTTGTAATTCAGCCCGGCGCATGGGTTCGAAATTCAAGCCTTGCTGTCGTCTGGCTTCAAACAAAGATCCAGTGCTAATATCGTAACTGTTTTGCTTTTTATGTGTTTTGGGTTTTTGCGTTTTTGGTTTTGGTGTTCCGAGTACAAAAGAGAATTGCCACTGTACGAGAATCCTACAGCCAAGAAGCACAATCAAACAACGAAACGAAACAGTTCCGGCACCAGCTCTGGACCTTTAGTCTTATGCGTTATTGGTGTCATCCTTCATCTTGAGAGTGGCGGGCTTGCACTCTTACCAGAGATCTCCACACTAAATCCTTATTCCTGAAACCACATACCAGAGTATCGATACTCTATACAGTACCTTTTCGGTGTATGCAACTACTGACTGCTTTCTGAAAGTTTTGTCCAACAGGGTCAGGCGTTTGAAAGCAGTCTGTTTTCGAACGACCAAGTACCAGTAGCCGTGTCAGAACAAAGTCGTCCATCCAGTGCTGTATCTACACTTGCCAATGTTTGTGCAACCGGGACTGCAAAGCCTGACACATGAATAGCAGGTGCAACAGATCTCGCAGAAGCACCAATCATCAACCATATAGGTTCTAACACAGATAGAATCGACAACATCGTTTCAATCAGACCGGCAGCCCTACTCCTGGCCCCACCAGGTGCAGCCAAAGAACCGGGTTTGCGTAGATACCTTGCTGATGCCGAAGGCAGTACCGCTGCAGGCGCCGCCACCGTCGAAGGCCGGACAGACCCCATCGATGTGACCTTTACAATCCAAACCTACTGGAAAGGCAAAGTTAGTCAGAGCCTGTGAGAAACGGCCATGAAATACGAACGCCCAGCTTTGTGCTCCGGTTTTTGGGTGTCCAGATCTTCGTGGCGTTATGGAAATGTAAACAGAAGCAAGCTCAAAAACGCGAAGAAGGAGTACATGTGTACTTGTTGTCGAAGTGTGTGTGTGTGTGTACATATACTTTAAATTGGATATGCATACACGCAAGCGGATGGATGGATGGATGGATGGATGGACGGAGGGATGGACGGATGGACGGATGGATGGATGGAAAGATGGATGGAAAGATGGATGGATGGAGGGAGGGAGGTAGCGTTTGGTTGTTGGCATGTAAGTATGTATGTATTCATGTGTGCAGGTAGGTAGGCAAGCAGGCAGGCAGGTCTGTATGAGGGTGCTTATCTCTGCAGTTGCCTGAGCATGCGCTTATGTACGTATGTGCGGATATATGTATGTATGTATGCATGTATGTACTTATGTAGGCATGTACGTACCGTCATGCTATGTGCAGTCCCTGATTCGCATTTGGCATTCAGCTTGAGTCCGACTATGCCCGGAGAATTGGGGCAGATTCCTTCTGATACAGAGCATGTTTGTTCAGGGTCAACGAAATCTACTTAATGGAGAGGTGCTGTGCTCTCGGGCGGATCACAAGCAGGCTTGACCGGGGCTGCTGAGGTTTCTCTGTCAAGTGACGCTGGAATAGTATAGGTTGATGTGACGAGAGTCTCAAACGTCCACGATCGTTAGACCCTCGAACCTTGCATGGTCAATGGAATTTCTCCTGCGGCCCCAAAACCACAAACAGTTAAGTAACTACGAAGCCACGAGGCTTCAATCTGAGCCTTATTTCTCGCTTGTGGTCTTGAGTTAAGCAGCTTAGAGTCCGGAGTCGGATTTCGTGCCAATTCTCATCATCGCTGCAGGTAGACCCAGACTTAGATAAATGTTTCTGCTTGTACATGCCTAGATTTCTGTGCATGTCGGCTGAGACGGAGATGGTTGGGGACATTGGGGGTGATGTCGAAAGTTGTTATGCGTAGATTGGGTTTAAGCGTGCCGGAACAGAACTGCCTAGCAAATCATTGAAGCTCTGATGTGCTGAATAGCATCCCAAAGCCCGCACGATATGGTGATAGTCTTCGGATTCGGAACTTGAGTATTATCCGGTGTTGGTGGTTTTCTTCAGTATACTTTGTTGTCTGCCGTGCTCTGTAAACGAGCTGGAAACATATAGCCTTTTTCAACAGAAGCCCAACCAAGAATACGTCTGTTTTGGTTTGCCACGGTAGTTATCCCCCACCAGTGCCACCACCGAAGCCTGCTCCTCTCGTACCTCGCTGAGCTTTGTCGGGTCTTCAGGCACCGTTGCCGGAGTTCGGGCCGTCGGAACTCCAGCTCCGGAAGGAGCAGTGGCTCGGCACGTAAATGTCGGATGACGGATGACCATGCCAAGTTTAGACTTGATATTTGCTGTTGTTCACTCCCGAGCTTGGCCCATGTCCTCAACAAAAAGATTTTTGCATTGACCTAGCCGACTCTCGGACACGATTGCCACTCAGCCCCAAGACTACACTACCCAATCAAGTCGGGAAGGGCAGCAGCACCAGCAGCAGCAGTAGCAAAGCAATGACCGCATACTCGTCATCGAACAAGAAAGCTGATAATTATGCCAGTGAAATCTTGCGAGAACTGACAGTCACGTTGCGAGTATTTTCTTCCCATCCATCACGATCTGCAAAAATTAACAAATACACACGAAACCGCGATTAAGAATTAGCCGAACTTAGCTGAACTAGGGCATTCACTTGAAACGATTGTCGACGCTGGCTGCAACATGTGCAGCGAGCACCTTGCCAAGGAGGTCTTGTCTGGTTCGTCTGCTACAGCAACATTGTAAGCATGACAGGCAGCATGTAGAGGCCGTATACCTTCATGAGAACCTTCGCAGACATGTCCTTAGTGCTGGTGCTTTCGGGGTTGCCTTGCTTCGTCTTTCATCTAAGCCGATGCCCTCTCAAAGTGTCTATCCGTGCGTTGGAGGCCGTATGCACCCGAAATCGCTGCATCATTGCTCCCATAAGATCCGTCGTCTATATCTATATCGTCCATACAACCACCAAAGAGACCTGGAAGAGACAACAGCACAGTGGTATCCCGGCTGAGTGCAATTCCCAAGTACTCAGGACGATCAAGTACAGCAAGGGCCTCCTACTGTCCAGGGTGGAAGAGAAGAAGGCCGAGAAGATTGAGACGGCATAGCCGATCGAAGCAGGCATGCTAGCTCTAGTATTGCAATGGTAGCCACGGCGACCTTGCCATTCTTGCCTGGTCACAAGCTTCTGATTTAATCCAGAAGATGCATTGGGATGCCAATAGCAGGAGCAGGAGCAGTAGTAGGAGTGGCAGCCGTGGTAGTTAAGACACGTCAAGAACCGCAGGAGTAGAGAAGCAAGAGAACCGAAATTTGCCGCACCTGTACCACTACATAAGTAACCACATTGGACTGTGCATGGTTTGCAAACCCATGCATAGGAAGGGTCGAGCGCCGAGAGAGAGAGAGAGAGAGAGAGAGAGAGAGAGAGAGACAGAGTGTGTGTGTGTGTGTAGCAAGCCAGGTATCTACAGTCTCACAACAAGAGCAGCCGGGACAGCAATGACGGTGTATAGCGGCTAGTTTAGCGCAGCTGCAGCAAGCACAGCCGCTTATTGCCAGTGTTCGTGTGATCATGCTGCTGCCATCGCTGTCTACCCGTGGTTCGTGTTCCCATGTACTTTCGGTTCCTACAGGAGCCGCACATGCACACTGTCTGCTACAACGCTGCTGAGTTTGAAACTAACTAGAAACCCACCCAAATTCCTGCTGAGAGTGAGAAGGAGAGACACCTTTTTTTGCAAAATGCCTTTAATTAGGGACGTGGTATCCTGGAGGTTGCATACAGCACTCCGGATGGCGTGCAGATCCTGCTCCGCAAGGCCGGGGGAAGGAAAGTTCAAAATTCGCTCGAACAAACTGTACTCTACTGGAAGCCTTCTCGGGTTCTCCACGAGGGATGCCAAGACCTCACTTGGGTGTTGCTTCCAGATAACCTAAAGGATCCAGGCGCTAAGTAGGTGACAGGTTAGGTGCACGTGCCCCGAAGATCGAGCCGAGGAGTTCTACGTCCCACCCACAGAAGCTGGCAAGAAAGGCAAGTCCAAGAGCAAAGGCCGGGAAGCTAACCACCTTGCAAAGCGGTTGTTCTGGGACAGTTCAGCCGTAGGCCTGTCCTCGTTGTCACATGGTTTCTCAACGATGTGCTTGTTTGTAGGTTTGTGTTGAACTCAGTGCGTGGTAGCAGAAAGCCGTCCAAGGGAGTTCTCCAGTCGAACTTTTGGACGTACATGCAACTGCAGCAGATAAGCTATTCGCAACACAAAGGAAAAGGCAGCAACAAGCAGCACCCTTGCACCCGCCTCGTGCACAATGTCCTCCAGCTTGCCGCATGTCAGGGTTTGCTTCAACTCTGTAACCGCAGACCGGCACATCTTGAAAGGAGAACGTGATTATTCGGGTAAACGGCATCAATCGGTTGTCACCGCCAGGTGGTGAGGCAAAGCCCAAGAGCGTCACCCACATTTCCGAGACTCGCCGCCTCACGGCAGAATGTCGAGATTTCGTTGCTGAAAGAGGGTCGGGTTTGGGCTCCTGGGCGGAAATTGAGTGGAGCCCGTGGAGCCCAGGGTTTCGAAGTGGCTTGTCCGAGTCGGGAGAGCCCCAGGCCCTAAGGTAAATACGGGGATCTGAATAAGTAGATCATGTCCCGCTATCATCGCTCCTATGTAACTGTAGTATACTATACCACCCAAATCCTGTTCTAACTGATGAGGCCCCTGCTTCAGCCGTGATGCTGGTAGACCTCTTCTAAAGCTCCACAAAAAGCACGGAAAGCTCTGTTCTAATTCTCAACCCCTTCTTTCGTCCATCTGAACCATATCTTTTTGAAGCCACGGGGACGATCACAGGACGGGCGAGATGAGGCCCTGATGCAAAGTTTCACAGAGTGCGCATGTCCCTTTGCCAAAGTGCAGCAAAGACGCGTCCTCCCTTTGACTGAGGATGACTAAGGCAAAGTCCTGTCGGAAGCATTGCTCCACTATCCTGTTCTTAAGGGATACTACATCACTGTCACTCCGGACTGACGTGCAAGTCGACTGACGCAAAGATGACCGCAGCAGTTGCTCTACATATGCCATGACAGAGGGATAGCCTTGGCGGGCTGCCACCGAACGATCCTCAATGTCGTAGGTTTTTTGCGGGTATAGGTTCCAAGGCTTCACGAGTGCAGGGAAGACAGGGAAGAATGGGTTTAGTGAGTACTGTACATACATGCGCATAAATGTATACATAAAAATTTGCATACACATGTGTATATACATACACCTACACCTACTTGTACATTAAGCATACCAGTATATACACATACACATATCATACACATACACACGCACACACATACACGTACACATGCACATATGCGTGTGCAAATGCATGCACATGCGCATGCCGACATACATATACGTATATCTAGACATATGGGTGTAATTACAAGGTACAGGCATAGGTACAGATGTATGTATGTATGTATGTATGCATGTTTGTGTGAATGTATGTATGAATATATGTGTGCATTTATGTGTGCTTATGTATGTATGTATAAATTGAATGCATGTATGTGTTTATGTGTATGTATGTATGTATGTATTTATGTATGTATGTATGTATGTATATTAGTGTAATGTAATGTACTGTAAGCGTCGAGTGCGAGTGCTAAAAATGTATGTATGTATGTATGTATGTACGTATGTATGTATGTATGTATGTATGTATGTATGTGTGTGCGTGTATGTGTGTGTGTATGTATGCATGCGTATTGCACAATGCGTGCATGCATGCCTGCATGTATTGCCTGTGTGTGTATATGACTTGTCGAGCACGAGTGACAAAATATGTACTTGCCTATGTATGCATGTATGTTTGTCTGTCTGTCTGTCTGTCTGTCTGTATGTATGTATGTGCGTGGCATGCAAGCAGGTATGTATGAATACGTGCATGCGTAGACTGTATGTATGTACGTACGTATGTATGTGTGTGTGTGTCTGTTTATGCATGCATGGATGTATGTTTGTATGTTAAGTTGTGGTATGGTAAGATAGGTAGGCGAAGGTAAGGTAAGTATGTACGTATCTACGTGCTCCTGCACATGTACATATGCACTTATACAGAGTCTCCTGCTAGGGAAGGCAGATATTCAATTGTAATTCGCACTTCCACTGCCGTGATGGTTCAAGGTTCATGTTCGAGCCATTTCCGCTCTATAGACCTCTAGACCGAACTAGGTCTCACAAGCTGCAAAACTACATGAATTTCTCGGCTGTGACGCACCTTGGCCGCCTTGGCTTCCTGGGAAGGTTGCGCGAGTTGACAGTTGACAGTCCTTCGCACGACATGTCTCCTCCTTGCAAGGAAAGGTCTGCGCCTTCACGCGGAAGTACCTTGGCCTCGCATTCATTCGCACACCCCAGCGGACCATCGCAAGAGAGATGTAGATCACGAGGCCGACGGAAGGCACTGGGCCGCAGAAGTGGCTTGGCATGGCATGCTTCCGTGTTGCCATACAGCAGCAGATATTAGTACCTTCTTGAGGTCGTGGCCGTCAATTGGAAGAAGAAGACGCCCGTCAAGGCCGAGCTGAAAGCACCCGCACGTCCACTGCTCCATAGACCATGCCCTGGCGCGCATCATTTTCATCATCCCCTGATCACTGAGGCATCATCAGAATCACCACACTCGCTATCGCCATTGTCTCACCGCAGCCATCGCTACGACCATCTTCATCATCGCCAGTTTCTTGCCCATCGTCATCGCCCGGAGCATTGGCATTATGATCTATTTCTGTCCATACACACAATCTACTGTGAACCGATGATGCGACACCCGATGTTTCGACAAGCACCTGTACGAACACTTGCCCTCCGAAGGTTCACTTCATGGGCTACGCCAAGGAGCACGACGAATGGCTGAGCGCGGAACGTCTGCGCTCCAGGGCCATTGTGCCGCTCAAGGGGCAGGAGGAGCCTGATATTCGACGATAGAGTCGATAGAGGCCGTTGTCAAGTTATGAGGTGTTGTGCCATCTTATCCATGTCCTGACAGACGATATCGGGTATTTGGGTGTATGCATTCAGGGCTGAGAAAACTTTGATTTCGGCATATATAGAGGGAACTGACACTGACTATAGATCTATACATTAAGGCCGCATCATATAATTCGACCGGCCTCGGCACATGAAGAGAGACAGCGAGTGATCTTTTCGTGGCTTGCAGTGTTGCTCCCAGGAGGGATCCCAGGCGCGGCGGGCTGCTCGCAAAGCGAGAGTTTGGTTTCCTCAGCTTGAGATTCATGCTTCCCCAGGCTTCCTTCGGTGCCAGCGTGCCACCCCTGGCCAAGAAGTACCTCCGCGTCAACGCGAAGGCGGGAAACCCGAAGCGGAAGCACCCTTTGAGCTGTTGCTGTTTGCCCTCTGCTCCAGGTTTTCGCTCGGCTGAATCCAGGCTTCAGGGACTGCAGGGGGCAGTCTCTTCTTGTGGCAGACGCAAGAGCGCGGTTTTCAGGCTTTTGCCCCTGGGTTCTTGCCAAGAAACAGTACCTCGAGGCGACAAAGGATGGACTGCATGCTGGGCTCGTCGCTTGGGTCCGAATGGCCCTTTCGAGTTTGCCGGCAGGACTGCAACGACACCATCACGTGGGCCTTGCAACACGACAAGGGTTGCACGCTCTACACTCTGCCGGTTTTCCTGGACAGGCCCGCTCAATTTGGGTGCTGTGCCTCCACCCCTTGTTTGCCCCAACGTAGGGACGAAACATCGGCCTACCTTGCGGGCGTCGTCATCCAGGACTGAGCTTCGCAGCTACGCCGGCTACGCCTCAGTCACCGCGCAGAGCCCCACAGCTAAGCTCGTGTGGAGGAGATGATCTGGAAACTCCGTGACCCCATCTCAGGAAGTCCAGTAGCGGTGTTTAGGAGAACTCTTGTAAGACTTGGATTTCAGTTTCAAGCTTCAGCGCTTCCTGAGGCCTCGAGCTTGATACTCTGCGGACCTCCCAAGATCTGTGCCTCGGCTTCGATTTCACCTGCGGTACTCCTGATGGTTAAGGGCCAATTCAATAACGATGAAAATGGCGAAAGGCCAATGCGTGCAGAAATGCTTCTCGATTGGAGGCCACAGGGCTCCGGAAATTGCGTCAGACAGCATTCAGCTTGGCGAGTTGTGATCAATGTTGTCGCTGCCAGGAGCTTACGAGTTCGAGCTGAGGTCCATGCGGGAAGCAGCTCGGCTGCCACCTTTTCAAGTTCCCAGAGCTTCCGTTGCGAAAGCACCCGAGCACAGGTCTGCGGCGCGCCCCGCAAGCCTTTCGAGGCTGGACTCGCTTGAGCATGAGCCGGTCGGCTCCCTGCTGTTCCGCAACTCAACTTCATCCAGATGACGGTGTTCTGTGCATCAGGTATCCATCGTGGGACATGAGTCAGCGCTGCCCGCTGCTTTCGACGCGCCCGAGGTGCCCCTTGCAAACCCATATGTGGAGGACATATGTGCAAAGGTTCAATGCTGTGGATTCTAGTTTGTTAGCAGGTCCGCAGTACGGCCAGTACCCCTCGCCTTCTGCTGTTCAACTTTTTTCACACTTGTGAGCCACGCCTATATGTTTACATGGGCGTTCCCTGCTCTCTAAACGGCCTCTTCATACAGCCACACAAACGAGTCCATGAGTCGAGGAAGCCTTCTCTTCTTTGTGTCTTTTGCGCGCCTTTCGTGGTGTCGTGGTAGCTGCAGGTGGAGCGGCGTGCAGAGGCCCCAGGCCAGCTCGCAAGAGGGATCACAAGGTCTCATGCATGCAGCTCCTGTGCATCTTCCGCGTGACCAAAGATGTGACTCAAGATGGCCGATCCTGCGCTGGAGATCTGTTGCAATTGAATCATGGAGGCAGCAAAGGCGCATAGACAAACGCAAGACATGTCCATGTCTTGCACCAATTTGATCTGTGTACATAGGTTTTTCTCATACAGACGTTGTAGTGTCGAATGCCACCATGCCGCAGCCATGGCATCACCTGCGGCAAGAGCAAAGGAAACCTCGGATATCTTTGTTGTGCGGTATCACAGACTGGACAAGGTGAGGGATGTCAACGAGAAGGTCACATGGGACTACCAGCAAGAGCACATCGCGAAGACCATATTTCACACTGCCACGGTGCGTGTCGATGGATTTGGCTCAGCATGCGTGGGAGCTCCGAGTAAGACCAACCGCGGTGCAGAAGATTCAGCAGCTCGGAAGTTCTTGTCATGTGTTCAATCGACTGATTTAGAGAGCTTGCAGGTTGCGAAGAGGAGGAAGCTCAATTCAATCGGATCTCAGCCACCGTAGCTTCAGATTGCAGCAAAAGTCTGCGGTGCAGCCAACGCTGCGGATTGCGATGGACCTTTCCTGGCGAATAGAAAAAAGATTTCCAGGTGGTGCCTCGATTCAATGGCTGTCGCTTTCAAGTTTCCTGGCTGTGACAGTGACAGGTCACTCTTCCGTGAGGCTCGGGCCGGGTTCTTCTCCTGCGGGGGAAGCGCTCCGCCCACCTCCGCTAAATTATCGCTTTCAATAAAATCTTCGCAGTACACGTGGCAGTTAAGAGAGGATGCCATTTAAGCCAATGTCAGTGAGAAAGGCACTCGCTGCAAGCGCAGGCTTTCCAGCTTCCACGGCCAATCACGGCCTCGGCCAAGTGGCACAGGCCATATCCTGAAGCCTTAGGGTTTGTGGGGTTCAGGGGTGTGTAGGGGTTTTAGGGCTTAGCGATTTTTCGACATGGTTTTGGGCTCTCGGGCTGTAGGGTTCAGGGGTTTTAGGGGTCTCGGGGTTTTAGGAACTGGGTTTGCAGGATGAACACCACCAGCTGGGTTCATGGTTTAGGGCTCAGGGTTTAGGGTTCAAACCCACACTGCAAGGCCAAACCTTTTGACGCCAAACTTCGACCCTGCCCCGTAGCCCGGACCGGCCCTTGTCACAGCAATCAATGTGGCGCCCTAGCACATGTCAGTCAAAGTTGTCATGGAAGCCCGCGAGCTTCAAATGAATGTTGGCGGCGCTCCGCCCCACTCCGCTCCCATTCCGCTCCGATTCGGCTCTCATTCCCCTTCTGAGGATGCCGTCGTGTTCCCATATTCTGCATTTTTGGGTTTGTGGCGTCAGGGCTTAGGGCTCAGGGACCTAGACTCTCCAGACTGGTTTGGGCATTGGCGTCGTGCCGACTCTTACGGTATAAGCGGTCTTCAGATTGGTTACCACAGCTGCCACAGCGCCGCGAGAATTGCGGCCAAACGGACCCTAAACTTAAGGACTAAAGCCCTAAAACCGAGCAAGAACTTTAAATCCTAAATACTACACACATAAAGCACAAAGGGGCGCGCAATATTGAGAATCTTGCTCCTGCTCCTGCTCCTGCTCCTGCTCCTGCTGCTGCTGCTGCTGCTATAGCTAGTGCTAGTGCTACTGCTACTGCTACTGCTACTGCTACTGCTGCTGCTGCTGCTGCTACTGCTACTGCTGCTGCTGCTGCTACTACTACTACTACTACTACTACTACTACTACTACTCCTGCCGCTCCTGCGTAAGGTTGATGGGTTGAGGGGTTTAGGGTTGTAAGGTTGATGGGACCGACTCACTCCCCATGCTTGGATTGGCCATATTGGCTGCTGTATTATGGAGCCTGACAAAAGCAGACTGTATGAAGGTCCTGAAGGAGCTTGCCGATACCTTTACCTTCGCCTATCCGTTCCATTGACTCGCAGCAACACTAGTAAAAGCAGCACAGGAAGAGTTGCATCGGTAACGCACAGCGGTCCTACGTTTTCAAGAATTCCTCAAGTCCGAACCGAGTGTCGAAACCCGACACCCTAAGGCCCCGAACCCTAAACATCCCTGCAAGCATCCAGGATTTCCCGAGCCCACCAGCTCTGGGCACCACCCGTGACATCATCACGAGTGCCCAGGAGAAAGGGTATAGACTAGTGGTCTAGGGATCGGGGCCAAGGGTATGGAGCTGAGATGGCGTTCGATGTGGTCTTCGAGCTTTATAGGCTTCGCGGTGCAGTTGCCGCAGTGCTTGCTAAGGCCCTGGATCTTCCTATTCTAGGAGCATTGCAAGTAAAAGTCTCGCAAGGTTAGTCAAGTCAGGGTGATGTCGTTACTGTTGCGAGGTTTGTATCGGGAGCGCAGATGAAGCAGCAACCCTAAGCCCCATACCCTAAACCCAAACACATATGCAACTCGTTCATAACTTCGAGGGAGCAAGGCCGGAAGCGGAAAGCTTAAAATCGCCAGATCCAAATAGTATGTTTCACATACATCGTTTGTCGTTGAGTTGTTGGATCCGGATCAAGCTGGCATAGGAATCAAAGCAGGGATTGAGGCTTGCATAGGGCATCGGTTGAAGCATTGCAAGCCCGAGCCATCCTTTCATACAGGCTCGTCCTAGCGCAGTAGGAAGCAAAAAAACTTCAAGCTCAAAGTCTTCACTTCCAACTTCACAAAACACTACGGAATTGCCAAGGCCTGAGATACGCGGCCAGAATTGTAGCCTCAGACCACCTAAACAATTCAAAGAGCAAGTCAAGCTTTAGCCAGGATGGCGTTAACAGGACCGTCGAGGCGGCTGTGCTCCCGGGGCGTTTTAGCCTTTTGAAATTATTGTCAAGACAACGACGATGAAGAAAAAGGGAGGGGGACACTGTGCCGAGTTGGCCATGCCGAGATGATACCTAAGCCGGTTATGATCTGACCAATGCAGATGATGATTGCAATGCCATAAATCGCACGATGATTATGGTCGTCTTCAGCATGTCGTGATCGAAGGGCGAAGGTCCCAGTGCAGATCCTTGTCAAGACCGAACGGCTAGGCTGTGGAAGGCGAAGTGGCGGGTGCCAAGGATGTGGCGCTGGATGTCGTTGAGGCTGCTGGCCATGCTTCTGGCAGGTGTGTTGTTCTCACAACGTCGCTAGTGCCACACTGCTGTGCTTGTTGAATTTCACCCTCGTCACCAGCCCAGTGTAGATGCACAAGACTATTGCTTCTAAGTGTGGTGGGGTCTAGAGTCTAGGATTCAGACTGTAACGGGATGGTGCTCCAAGAGCTGGTTTAAGGTCGTGAAGATTGGAATTTCGGAGTTCGCATGGCGGAATCCCACACCAAAACCCTCACCGTAGATCATCGACTCAGCTCGAGGCGGGCTCTGGCAAAGTGAATAAGACTTTGGACGACCTGCGCAGCGACCCATGGGAGGCACTGATATGATTTGTGTGTTAAGGTTTAGGGTTTGGGTTGAAGGGTTCATCACAGGGTGTCTTAGGGTATGGGGCAGTGCTGACGCTCGATGGGGTAAGTTGCTGCGATGCTTGCTGAGGCCCTGGACCTTCCAATTGTAGAAGCAGTGTCGGTAGAAGTCTCGCTTCAACGCCCCACGAAGAATAGTAAGGAGTTTGCTTCGTGAGACCTTGCCGGAAGCTGTGTTTCATCTATAGTCTGAGGATTACTCTGGTTGCTGGCCCCATTGCTGCAACAGCTGTGAAGATGCTGGAAGGTCCAAGACGACAACCTACCAAGCTGTGCAACAAGCTCATGCCCCTCACCTCTAAATGCTGGAAACAACCCCAGATTCCGCCTCGCAGAAAAACAACTGCCAGAATGCACAGCGGGCACATTTCGGCCGAGGAGCAAGCCGTGGCCCTAAGTATGCGTACCCTGCTATCGGGAGGCTCCGCAACCAGATGGCCATGTGACGCTGGCCCAGAAGAAGGCTGGATGCATAGAAGACGCTTTTGGGGTCTGGTTTTCCTTCGTGGTTATGTTGAGAGTTCGGAGAGCGGAACGGGGGCTTTTCGGGTTTGGCTTTAGGTTGCTAGCCTTACGAGTATGAGACAAGAAGTTGGCGGGTGGAGAAACCGTATTGCGACTCTATGAGACTACATGGTGGGTGGGGGGGTGCTTTTTCGAGGCTGCCAGCTGGTTTCCTTTCGAACGACGTTTTTGGCAATTTTTGTGTGTACTTCTTTCTGGCTACTCGTTCTCGGTGGAAGGAAGCTTCGTAGACTTCAGGTTTAGGGTTTGGGATTTCGGGGTTTAGGTCTGGAGGATTCCCATCATCGCCATGGGTAGCATGATGGTTGTCGCAGCTCCGCTCGCATTTTCGGTGGCTTGCAATAGAAGCTGTCGTGACACGCTCGCTGAAACTGTGAACCCTGCTTCCAACCTTGATCTATAAACCCTCCAGCCTCAAGTTCGCAAGCCCTGCTTGCCCCAATTCCTACAGTCCGAACCCGTAAAACCCCAACCTGCAAACGCAAACGAACCTGAATCCCAAACGGCCCGACACCCCAGGGCCAGGGCCCGGAACTGTAAACATGCGCCTGAAACATCGATGACATTATCAAGACTGACCAGGAGACAGGGTATAGAGTAGTGGCTCAGGGGTCATCGAGCTTTATCGTGTAGTTGCGGAGCATTGTCAGCAAAAGCCTCGCTTAGACTCAGACGCCCCATTCAAGATCAGTCAGGAGTCTGCTTCATGCGAGACGTGCGATATGCCCTTGAAGCAGGCGTTGAGGGTCAGGGTGGTTGTGGTTACCTTGAGGGCTACTGCTGCGAGGTTCGTATGAGGAGCTGTTTCAGATCCACTCGCAACCCTAATCCCTAATCCCCATACCCTAAACCCCAATGCATACGCAACGCGTTCATAACTTCGAGAGAGCGTTCCGGAAAGCCTAATCCCGCCAAATCCGAAGAACATCTTCCAGATACAGTCAGTTTGCATGCTTCCACTGGCTTTGCCGGTCTGGTCGCTTGTCGTTGACTTGTTGGATTCGAGAGGCCGTTTGGCATTTTTAGCTCAGAGTTAAGGGCTACACTGATTGTCGAAGTTCTATGGTCTTTCAAGTACGGATCCTAAACAAGTCATGGAATTGTGATAAACTGCTGGCATAGAGACTAGAGTTCTTTGGGGCACGGCTCCTGTTTTGGGGTGTTGGCTGCAGGATGTACGCATCCAAGCGCTCCATTGCTTTTGCGGGCATAGGTTTGTAAGGCAGTGCATCGGTGTCGCCGGATTTCAAGTATGTAGCCGCCACCACACGACAACAGAGAGGCCCTGCGTCCTGGACGTTACGTACATCAAACCCAGACGAATCATTTCTTCCTCAAGCCGTCACTGCTGTTGCAGTACGGTGGGCTCCTTCCTTTTTGTCATGTATTTGGATTCCCATAGTTTTTGAAAGAACCGTGGATTTTGCAGAGTGAAGACCCTGGATTCCGCCATCTCCGATGGTGCGTCGGAGGCGAGATCGAGATCGGAGATTTTGCGGATGGAGGTCCAGCCAATAACTGGAACCTCAAGTGGCAAGTGTCCCCGAGCCCTTAGAGGCTGAGGGGCTGGATAAGCAGATTATCTGCAGGGCTATGCGAACGGGACCCGATCTTCAAGTGCACCCCAACAGCGTCAGCGGGATTCGGTTCTGACAGCCTGTGCCAAATCATTTGGGATATTTCGGGTCTTGTCTGGCGCTCGTCGGGGCATCACAAGCTTCAAGCAATGAGAAGCCAAACTTGAGTCATTCAACCCGTTAAAAAGCTCGTAAGCGCACCCGAACCCCAAGCCCGAAACCACAAACCCCAAGAAACAGGCGCAAACCATAAACCGTGGACCAGGCTGCAACATTTCAGGGCTCCAACGCCAACAATGCCACCCATGCTTCTCCTCGGGCCGTGGATCCGGAACCTGGGCAGCAAGGGTTTTAGGATAGGGCAGCTGTTGTGACCATCTTATCTTCTGTGAGCATGGCGCTTATTCCTCTTCTTTCGACAGGTGTAGACTCTGTAGGCGTTCAGATGCCCCTTAGAGTCTGGGATTCCGGGTACGATGAAGCAAGGGTTAGTATGCATCTAGGGCTAAACCGTATACCTTGACCCCAAAAATGCAGCAGCTACATTGGGGTCGAAACCATAAACGAAGGTTATCCGAAAATGGTATTGCATTCCAGGGTCTAGATACACCACAAACATCGAGAAACCCTGGCTCGAGTGCCTTCAGACCTTACCTGGCTTGTCCAAGTGCGAATGGTCAAAACCCTAGCTCAAAGGCACAGAACAATCCTCAAACGTGTTTGGTTTTAGGGGCCGGCCTCCCTGCGGTCCAAGTAAAGAGTATACAGTACGAAGCCAAAATCTATGATCGCAAACCCAGGTGCCTTATTCTCAAATACTTTGAACCCTTAGGGTTGGAATTTCGGAGCTCCAGAGAATAGTGTCAATTCAGACCTCAGGGTTGAGGCTGTTCGGGTGTGCATTCTGTTTTTGGGTGGGGCGGGGGTTGACTTGAGGGGTTTCAATAGTTGAACATGTGATGGCGTCTAGTCGATTTAATTTTCTGGGAGGTTGGGGATTGGTTTAGAACACAGGGTGTTGGGCTTGTCATGCGTGACACGTGCAAGTTGGAGCCAAAGACCGTGAGGGCTTGGCAGGCTCAAGCTTTTACCTCCCAACCTACCCCTCACTGCCAAAACACCAAGAAGCCTACTGGCCACACATCGGAGTGGAGCTTCAAGCTCAGGAAGAAGGAGCTAAAAGCCTCAGAGAGGATTCAGCGTCCAGGGAGAATAGGACTGCCATTCAAAGCCCTCGTGCAGGATGCATAAGACTCCACCATGTTCTTGTTTTCAGACTTAGGGTTGTTGTCAGGGTCTTCTGAAGCAAACCCAGGACCCAGAGCCCAAAATTTCAACATCTCGGCTGCGTGTGCAATTCCGTGCTTCACCAGTTGGCGGTCGCAACGAAGGTATGCGTGTGATAAACAGACACGGGTGAAAAGCGGAGCCCGTATCAAAAGCACACCAATGAATAACAGCCACTATAAAGCATTTTCCTTATCGTCGTGCTGTACTGAAACGGCCTGAGGCCCCACAGGTGCCGACGCACGCCCCTCG